AAAAAAAAAAAAAAAAAAAAACAATGATGCCTGAGTATACTGCCCTTACCAAGTCGTTAAATGTTTACTCTTCGTTTGAGCGCTGACAGGTCTCGCCGGAAATACAAGATGTTCCCAGACGAGACCAGTCAACGAACCTACCTGGCACAGCAGGGCCCGTACTGTTTTCAATGGCGAGCATTTCCCACCTTTACCAGTTTTGTTGCTGCCTCGCCGACTAGTGTTAAGATTCAATACGAGAACTAGTGGGGTACATACATGGATATCTTGTCGAATCAGACGGCGGTCTTGCGCAGCGCTTATTGAGGCGAAGCAGATATGAGATTCATATAAATTGGGCACTGCCTTCAAACGCTATGTTATCGAGATTCTCTTCCCTTCAAATTTGATATATACCCGTGTTTCAATTAAGCCATGTGCGGAATATCGGTAAGAATTTCACTTCGCTCTTCCAATGGAAATGCACCTAAAACACCTGGCGTGGAAGCTATCAAGGGTCAATTGGACAGGTCCCTTGACCTGATTGCGCATAGGGGTCCGGATTCAAAGGGGTTCTGGGTCAGCGAGGATAGCAGTGTTGGTAAAATATTGTTTTCTTATTTCCTTCCGAAAATAGCGCTAAATCATCTATTGTAGGATTGGGTCACTGTCGCCTGTCGATAGAAGATCTCTCGGATGCGGGCAACCAACCCCTCCACAGCAACGATGGCGGGGTCCACGCCGTTATTAACGGGGAGATCTATGACCATGAAAGAATCCGCAATGAGCTAGAACAGAATCACGGGTGTCACTTCAAGGGCCACAGCGACTCCGAAGTGGTCGTGGCTTTGTATACAGTTTATGGGGCTCCGGCATTCCTTGATCACTTGCGAGGTGAATTCTCCCTAGTTATATATGACCAACGCCAGGGTCGAATCATCGCTACACGAGATCGGTTCGGAATTAAGCCATTGTTCTGGACCATCATTGACGAGGAAGATGAACGAGTCCTCCTGTTTGCGACGGAAATGAAAACATTCCTCGCGATGGGCTGGAAGCCTAAGTGGGATGTGCAATCGGTATTCCAAGCGGGTTGGATCATTGACGATCGGAGTCTATTCAAAGGCGTGAAGAAGCTGATGCCTGGATACTGGACGGAATTAACATTGCCAGAGGGTCAACTACGCCGTCACTTGTACTGGGATTCTGACTACAATGACAAGGTGGGACTTCTCCCCATCAAATTCGGGTCACAAGCTGACAGGCAAATAGCGACAAGTGGAAACCCGCACTGTCGAGGAAATGATTGAGGGTGTCCGCGAGAAACTAATCGAAGCAATCCGTCTACGTCTACGAGCAGACGTCCCCGTTGGTATCTACCTCTCAGGGGGCATCGATTCCTCCCTGATTGCCGGTATTGTGGCAAAATTGGCCCAGGAGGAAAATGTTACGCTTGGTAGCAAGAGAGGACAAGTCACTTGCTTTAGCATTGAGTTCCCTAACTCACCATTGGATGAATTTGGTAAGTGTACAAGACACCCCGGGCGGGAAGTATGCTAATGTCGATTATCAGATGTTGCCAAACGAACAGCAGATTGGTTGGGGGTTGACATAGTCAAGTGCAAAGCAGACGAAGCAGCCTTTGCAGAGCACTTCGAAAATTCAGTTTACCACTGTGAATATCAAACCTTCGACTTGGGCCCTACCGGAAAAACAATGCTGTCTTCCATCCCACGAGATGCCGGTTTCAAAGTTGTCTTGACTGGTGAGGGCTCAGATGAGCACTTTGCTGGATATCCATTCACGCCACGGGACTTTCTACTCGAGCCTGATCTCTCCTGGCCGACTTCAACGTTGACCCAAGACACTGAGCGTCTCAATCAAATGCAACGAGCAGCCGCAGAACTTTTCGACCGCCAAGTTGCTGCTCTAGGCGTCAAAGGCGAGAAGTTTAGATGGGATGAGACCTGCCGGGGTTACCACCAGGCCAACCGAGTTAACATTCCCAATACCCTTTTGGGTATGTCTGGTGCAACATTCCCAATGTGGGCGCCTTGGGTGGTCGAAAAATGGTCCAGGTTTGACCTTCGGGAAACAGTGATTAGAGCCATGTCTCCAGCTGCGCGCGAGAAGATCTTGAACCAGTGGCATCCTCTGCATACATCGTTGTACATCACTACAAAGACGTTTCTAAACAACTATCTTCTCGTCTCTTTGGGCGATCGAACAGAGATGGCACACAGTATCGAAGCTCGTCCGCCATTTCTCGATCACAATCTTGTCGAATATGTCAACCGACTTCCGCCTAGTCTTAAGTTACGGTGCACATCTGATCTGGATTCTAACACAGACCAGCAGGAACAGGAGCCACAGTTAATCGAAAAATGGATCTTACGCGAGGTCGGGAAACCGTTTATTCCAGAGGAAATCTACAAACGCAAAAAGCAACCGTATTTGGCTCCTGTCAAATGGCCGCAAAACGGGCCCCTCCACCAAATGTTCCAGAGACTGTGCACCAAAGAAGCAATTGAGAATCTCGGATTCGTGAGCTGGGCCCCGATCGAACGGGCGCTGCAACATGCATTCGGACCCGACGCGGACCAGGGACTGTTCCGGTTACTCGTTTGTGTCGCGGGCTGGGTTGTGCTCAGCCAGCGGTTCGGGGTTGAAAAGGCCACGGAGGCGGAGTGGGCGGATTCTCCGTTGTATGACCCTTGGTGCGACTTTTGATTTACACTTCCCCTTTTAGCATCAGACCGGTTTCATAGCTTGCCTGGTTGGCGGTATGTTCTAGTCAGAACTGGGGCGTATGCGCAAAGCCGTCAACTCGCTCCCGGCTATAATAATGATAGACCATAAAGCTTTGGCCAATTCCCAGCCGGCAATATACTTATATAAAACCCTTTCGCCTCCCAGCCACCAGCAATCCAGCTCTAGACCCGAATCCATTGTTCCAAAGATAGATCCCGACACCATTGAACTCTGTCCCTTTTTCCAGAATAAATAGCCATCGGTTTGTAAATCCCGGTGCTACTGTTGTTGCGGTGTAGAAAGTACTTTCCAGCTGAATGGGACCGAAGTCAAATATAGAAGCCCAACCTCCCCGACCCACCTGTCAAGTCGGGCCAGGGGCCCACTAAGAGCTCTTTGCCGGAATGAGTAGGTAGTTTAGAGCTCCGTATTCCGCGTAAAAAGGTTTAACGCTTTCTTACCGAAGCCCACTATTAATTACGACTAAAGCGTTATTGGAATGAGCTCGGAGAATACACATAGACGGGTTCCTGACCCAGCGGCAGTTGGGCCCACTTGAAATGGGTCGAGGACATGTATAGCATCTCCGATGTGCAGGAGACATGGATGTATACCATAATGAAGTTCCGAATGGAATTCAAAGCTAGAGTTTAGATCTTCGTAGCCATTAGCCCCAGCAATATTGATACGTGGTGTGAATTCAAAATGAGGCAATTGCCTGCCTCAGGCTATACAGAGCAGGGCCCACATGTTCGTTCACACGGGCCAGTCCTTCTTTCTGTACAGAGTACACAACAAGTCTACAATATCAGTGGCACAATCAGAAAGATGGCCCAAACTACCCAGCCTTTCTCAACAGTGAAGCCTCAAAACTCACAAAAACCAGCCCATCCAACAAACACCCCCTTCCAAGAAAAACTCTACTTCCTCTATGGCACACTAATGAACCCCTCCACACTAGCATCCGTCCTCAAACAGCCCGGTCGACTAGAGCTCTATCCCGCATATATTACAGGTTACCCCATAAAGCTATGGGGCGAGTACCCGGCTATCGTGGATGATATCTCAGACCAGACGATCCGCGGGGCTGTCCGTTGCCCCTCGTACTGGGATGTCAAACTCAGCCTCATTTTCCGCCTCATGTTTTTCTAAAGCGGAAACTCCGCGTTTGGTCAATTAGTTCACGTGGACTATCATTTTTCTTCAGACGTCATCTGAGCTGCAAGTCACTTTTGAAACCAATGCAGTATATGTATGTCCTTCTATATTCAATTCCTGACAGTATATTTACATTCCTATACTGCCAGGGCCCAAATGTGTCTGAATTTGAAGGACACTCCACACTCAATGCAGTCTGTTATGGCCCTGTCTGTGCGCCCCCAGGAGAAAATTGCGAGCATGCAGTGGCCAAAGGCGACATGCCATTGGCCGAGTTTACCTTGAACGAAGGCAAACTCCAAACAGCAAATGGCATGTTTCTGGGGAAATGGGTTATTTCGAGTCCTCATCCGCACAAGGCGTTGTATTACTTCTCCGGATGGTATGTATTTGCATGTGCATGTGCATGTGAGCTTTGTTGGATGTTGACTATTGTACAGCAAAGTACCTTGATAAATTCCAAATTCTTCCTGTTTAAATTGATGTCGGTTGCACAATCGTGTTCATACATCCAAGAAAGGAAATCAGAGGGATAAGAGACCAAAGCAGAGACAATGAAATCATTTGCCTGTACTATTGGGCTGACATTGCGGTGTGTTTCGACTTTTACAAGCGCTTGGTTTGACAAGTGGTAGCAACTCAAATTTGCTTATTTCTAGCAGCGCGGCTGAAAAATATAGGGAGCTGACGATTGGACTCGGGCACCTGAGCAAACATTCGACAGAGCTTAGCTAGGTGGTTACCGATTAGCCAGCCATATATCTCTCAGGCACAGTTGCAATGGCATCCCGAGGACAGGAGTATCGGTTCCTGAAGAGCCAGTGTATGACTGCAAGCAAACATACAAGAACAGTTTCAAATGCATTTGCTATGGAAATTGAATTGAGCAACCCGGGGCCTTCATAGGTTATGTAATCCCTGAAGACTTTGCATGAATTTGGTCTTCAAAGTATTGATTGCCATACCAACTGGAATTTGAAATCACCTCTTGTGTTTGTATAGTGTAGCAAGAGAAGAACGCTATATAATGGTCTTCTGCTTAACCCTTAACACATCCCCCTTCTACCATTTTCACTCTCAAATCCCCCATTCTAAGAAATGATTTCAAGAGAACCAACCATGTCTATATTCGAAGGGAAGTTCATGCTCTTCATAAAATCCCACGGCCCCATTAATGTCCCCAGCGGACAAGAAAAGCCCGAACGAGTGGGATTTAACTGGGACATCCCTCCTGCTACGTTTACCTGGAAGGACGGTATACTTGAAACCGATGGCAATCACTTGGGAATCTTCCATGGGCTGGGCCCGGGACGATCTTTATTTCATATCCCTTGGATGAGCGGGGTTGAAGCTCAAAAGGTTAGATTTGAGGCACGGGACCGGGGGTATATGATGAGGATTAATGGTATGTTTCGTACTACCATCTTCGAATTGATCGGAAGATATTATGGCTAACAACTGGAACAGCTGTTCCGGTATTTGTAAAAGATAATGTTCTCTGCGCTGATGAGGAGCGAAGAGGTATGTATCATAAATGCATGCAGTGTACTATGCGTGCTCTGCTGAATGTTTACACAATCTTAGTTAGGCGTAGACTCAATCCTGCTTTGTTTGAAGTTCTTCCTCCTCTTGACGACTGAGGGTCTGGCGTGTACAACCATCTTTTCAGATATCTTCAGGCGCCTAGAGGGGGATATGAAGTCATATAAATAGCAATTACAGTTCTGCAAGGATTTTCCGCAACAGCCTATCATGAGCTCCCCATTGGACTCCGGGCGCTTCCTGACGAGCTAAAGATTTGGTGATAATGGCGATTTGATTGGCTATACTAACTAATATCATCACCTACGTCCAATTGAATCTAAGGCCAACGTGTAGTTGCATACAACCCCTGTATCTTTACTTCCTATCATTCCGTCTGAGTGGTAGCTCTGCACCAATTGAGTAAAGGAAATTACCTTATGTAGAGCAGGGAAGAAAAGGGCCATATAAGTAACTGCTGCTTACTATCCTCCGTCCCCTCTCTGCTATTCACACTTTCTTAACCCTCAAATTCTTCCACCCCCCCTCCCCCCGCGGCTACAATGCAGAGAAACCCAAGAATGTCTGCACCTGACACAAAATACCTACTCTTTACATATCATCATGGCCCCATAATCGCCCCCATAGACGACCCACAACCCGATCCTGCAAGGCTCGGACGGGGAGCAATGGCCGTGTTCACCGTAAGGAATGGTGAACTTCACTGCAAGGACAAAATTCTGGCGTTTTTCTCGAGTCCGGGTCCACAGCAACTGTTGTATTTCATTCCCTCAGAGGATGTTACTCCATTATTTAACACAAAAGTTCAGTTTGACTGGGAGGGTGGGAAGTGTGTTATGAAGATTGCCGGTATGTTTCTGTTACTGCTTTGAAAATGGAAGAACTATTGACGAAACTAAACAGGTGCTGTTGTGATTGTGTGGGATGGTTATCTGTACGCTGATACTTCTCGAACTAGTATGTATCCATTGAGGCATGTTGCTTGGGAGGTGCTGACATTGTTGGAGAGGAGAGCAGTGCTGCTTTGTTCGATATTATGCCTTGCAATGAAATAGGATCAGTTTGAAGAAAAATTAGAAAGTGTTGGTTATCTGGAAACAATGCTTTAGGTATGGTTCTGTTTCAATTGCTAGTAAGCTTCGGCTGTAATGACTTTGAGTAGGCTTGGATCTTATATCCATGCCTCCAAACACAATCCAGTTATATGTATTGGAACCAGATTAAGCGTAAGAGTGGTATATCAAACATCGTACTATTCGAAAGGCTCATAATAGGCATTTGACCACCGTCACGTGTCGACCCCATGTGACCACCCACCTTCACTTAGACGACATTCCCTTCCCCTCCATTCTTTATCTTCAGCAACACCTTAGAGCTTACTCTTCCCTGATCCTTTCTTCCCATTATCCTTCACGGTTACCACATATGGACTTGCGAGCCAACATACACTCGTTTCAGCGCGCAAATCCTCCAAGTCGTTCTAGTTAACCAACGCTCGACGCAATCGACTGGCTGGCTCGAAGCAGAAAGCGAGGCTACTACATTTGAAGACTTTAGGGGTATTACTATCGAGTTGCGTGTTGGATTGCGGTCTTACCTATGAGATGGTAAGATTCATTTCTGAACTGAAATTGGGATCGACGAAGAATGCTAACGCTCTGTATTTTACACAGAATGGTATGCTAAAGACCCCACGGATAGAACACGTGCAAGCTGGTGGGACGTTCTGCCATGTTCAGATTGGGCGTCGCGTGTCGGACGTGGTGAGACGCGCGAGAAGACTTTTCGAACAGAAACAGAAAACAACAGAAAGGTATTGTAAGTCGCCCAATTATACGGGGTTGTCTTGAAAGGCTTCCACTCACCGCGTTATTGAAAGGGTTTCGATTTTCTTGGGTAACCCGCTTTCTGCGCTTGAGACGAATATGCTGTGAGCTGTTCAGCTAGCCATTTCTAGGGCAAACAGCCTCTTCTCCATAACGTCCTCGCCTATTGGATCACACAGAGCCCCGACAAATTAACCGTGCCAATTCTACACGTCACCCGGGGTCCGGATCCATAGAAACAAGCTACATATATCGTCCTGTTCGCTCTTCCTGCCTCGCAGAATCAGCCCAGTTGCAAATTCCCCCGATTCCCAGGCAGAAATGTCTGCGATCGAGGCACTTCACCCGCAATGCCATTGGCCATGTCTATAGCCTATTCTTGCTGCTACAGGTAGACCGGAACGGAAGCATGTAGCAATTGGCTTTGAATTTGGTAGACGGCTGTTTACATTGGAGGTAAATCGCGGTCGGGGGTATATCACTGGGAAGATACTTGGTTGAGTGCCGGTCTTTTTTACCAAACTGGGTGTTTTATGGCGCCTGGGACGGAACACGCGGGATACGCAATTGGGCTGTTGGTGGTGCGTGGATTCCAGGCCCTGAGTGGTCTCGATTGGATGCGGCAACCAATTCTGAAATGGTGCACTGGGAGTGGAAGACTCCATGCATGGTTACTCGATGGTGTATTCAGGGGTATGGAGTACATGGATAGAGCACGCCGGGGCTAACAACGACTGGTGCTAGTTAATGCCGCGGTGGACCTGGAAACGATTCCCCTAATGTCATGATGCAATGGTGGATAGAGGATATCGTCTGATGTTCCAGAGTCAGTCAATCTCCCCAATGGCCGGATTCCAGAAACCGGTGAGAGACGCTAGAAAGAGCATTACGGGCGTCATCCACAGGTGGGACAGCATCGATTCTGGGGAGTATGTCAGACCGCAATCTCGATCTGACTCAGGAACAGGAGGAATCTGCGTGCACTGATCAGTGCTAACTTCATCCGGGGGAAAGAACGGTGAATCACGTGGACTGAGTCACATGTCAAACCTTTCCTTTTCATTCCATGGGACACTCACGGGTCCCCACAATGATCCACCGAGCTGTCGGAAGCTTCTCACGTCGTTCAGTCCTCGACAAGTGATGCGGTGCTTTGCTCAATGCGGATGGGTGCAGCACTGCCAATGACGATGATGCCCTGATGCTATGGCGAATCCTGACAGTATCCCCTCCAGGAACAAGTCCGTCGTGACTCACCAGGCAGTGTCGACCGCATTGCCAGTGCTGTCTGTCTGGTCTAGTCCGTCGAGGAGGGGGAAGTGGAGACGAAAAAGTTGAGAGTGCATACATACATCCTGCGAGGGAGAGTGTTAGCGACCCGACCATCTGCACATAATACAGTGATGCTGGCAATCATAAGTGGGCGCAGTGGATGGGCGATGATGTGTGAGTAACTCTGTCAGTCTTGGTTTCAGATCATGTTCTATTGATTTTGTCGTGTCTGACAGCTGGTTATCTTTAGGATATTGTCTGCCTAGACACGATACCCATACAGTTATCAATACAATACGTGGGCGAATCCTCCAGGCCCTCTCCCAGCCTCGCTGATTTCATCTCCGAAATTGGGCTCCAACGCCTATCCGGAGTGCCACCTCAGCAGCTAAGCGGTGAAGCATCGTTCAAGCCATCTCCGCCTGTTGGCGTTGTCCGATAGGCCTATCATAGCCGGTGATCTTCCGAGAAAGAAAAAAATCAAAAATTAAAAATGCATCGTCCGGGTGGGCTTTGGAGAATCCGGTAAAAAAAGAAAAGAAAAAATAAATTCTGCGTTGGCTATCTGTGTCCAATATTCTTTTCGGTTAGTCTGTTTTATGCTAATCGTGTGATTCTTCGCGCCTATGTCGAGAAAAAAGAAAAGAATCCATTCGGGTTTAGCTTTGAAATCGTCCCTCCTCCACTTATGACTGGAGGCCTCGGGTTCCGGAGAGATACACACCTCACGGCCCTCCTCCCTTTTAAAAAGGGAGAGGCGTCTCCCTGGCCGAATCCGTCTCCTGTCAAACAAATAGTCTGTCGGTCTGCCCCCTTCGGTAGATGGATCTCCTTATCACCTATCATCATCTCTTATCGCCTCTGCAAGCCACGACAACTCTATCCTCGATTTATCTTTGTCCTTGCTCTTGCTATCCCTCGCTGTGAATGTGCATCGAGGTGTACTACTAAACCCACTTGATGCCCTCTGGACTCGTTGCTCGAATATTACGTATGATACGACGCCCAAGGATGCATACGCCATTCAACCGCCAGTTTCCCTCGCGGTTACTGTCGTGTCTTACGACATTCTTGCCCGCCGGGGCTCGACCACATGCTGCCAGGAAATCCGCTCCGCCCAGCCATAAGACCGACTCCGACGACTCCTTTGTCCATGTCGAAGCGCCAACTCCGGAAGAAACAGAAGAACAGCAGCCACAACCAGAAGAACCAGAGCCGGAGCCGGAGCCGGAAGAAGATCCCCAGATGGTCCGCGACCTGCTGCGGAAAGAGGCACTCGACAGCCTCGAGACGGTCATATGCGCCGAACAAGTCAAGCGACAGTTGAAGGCTATTGCACAATGGGTGCAAATCTGTCGACGTCATGGGGAGGATCCGCGGAAGGATTGGTATAATATGGTTTTCCAGGGGAATCCTGGGACAGGTACGCTGCCACCCCACTTGGGTTGGGCCATCCCGAGCTAACGAGTCTAGGCAAGAGAACTGTTGCACAAATCTACTCCAAACTTCTCTACGCCCTCGATATCCTGGATGCCAACGAATCCCGAATCATCTCCGCCACCGATCTGGTTGCCGAAGGGCCAGGAGCCATCACCCGTCTGATACAAGATATTGTCGAAGCCGCCCCGCCAGCGGCCCAGACGGCCGGTATTCTAACCATCACCGAACCGTACCAACTTACGACCTTCCAAAAAACCCAAGCCGGTCGCCAGGCTCTCGAATCCCTTATGCACGGCATGGAACGCCCTGTGGGCAAGATCATCGTCGTGTTCGTCGGTTGCCAAGGAGAGGTGGCCGACTTTCTCCGCCACAACACCCAGCTGCAGCGGAGAATCTGCTGCTCCATCAATTTCGCCGATCTCGACGAGACTGAACTGCTCCGCATTGCCGGCGCTGCTCTGACTCAAAAGTATGGCGGGCGGATGCGTGTCGAGGGTGGCCTTGAGGGACAGTACATGCAAGTGGCTGTCCGTCGACTGGCTCATGGCCGCGTCGAGCGGGGCTTTACCAATTCCCATGCCGTCGAGGACCTCCTGGCCAGCATTTCCCATCGCCATGCACGACGTCTGTCTGAGATCCCCGATGCTGAGTTGGATGAAAGCGACTACTTCTTCCTCTCCAAGGAGGATCTGCTCGGACCTACTCCGGCCCAGATCAAGGCACGGAGTGAGGCCTGGGTGGCGTTGGAGCAGTTGATCGGACAAGACAACGCCAAGGCGTCTGTCGCTGAGGTGTTCGACACCGCTGAAGAGAACTACTGGCGTGAGGTTCGGAATCAACGGCCGTTGCCCCTACGTCTGAACCGGATCTTCGCTGGACCTCCGGGAACCGGCAAGACTACAGTGGCCAAGCTCTATGGTCAGGTCTTGGCCGATCTTGGGCTTCTTAGCAGTGGAGACGCCACTGTCATAACACCAGCCGGCGTTAAAGGTGGCCAAGGTCTGTCTGACATCCTCCACTCGACGGTTGGCAAGACTTTGATCATCAACGACTCGGCGATCTCGCCTGGCACCGACCAACAATTGCAATCCCGCACCGTCATTTTGGACGCTCTATACGCTGAAATGTCGTCCAGCGACGCCATCGACCGCTGCGTGATCTTCACTGGCTCGGAGAGCAACATCGACGCCATCTCCCGCCATGCCGACAAACCTTTCTCGAGCCTCTTCGCGCCTAAATTCATCGTGCGCTTTGAGGCCTTCACTCGGCCGCAACTCGAGCAGATCATGCAACGGAAGTTGCAAGAGCAGGATCTCTTTGTGACTCCCGAAGCCATGCAGACCGCGATGGAGGCTCTCGAGGCTACGCGGATGCGCCAGAGTTTCGAAAACGCCCGGGCGATCGACACTCTTTTGACTTCGGCCAACCGTAACTTTGAGGTGCGGACGGCCCGTGTGGGGACGCCGATGTTCCAGTCGGATCGGATGCTGGAGCCTGAGGATGTTGCGGCCAATTCGGGTGACACTAATGTTAGTGTGAAGAACGCGCTGCAGGATCTAGTGGCGGACTGCATTATCGCTGATCTGGAGCGGTATCAGAAGGAGATTAAGATCTCGTGGCTTATGGGACGAGACCCGTGTGAGCGGGTGCCTTGTGCCTTGGTCTTCAAGGGGCCGTGTGGTGAGTCTTCCATTCAAATGATACAATAATGAGGTGACGATACTAACTGTACCAGGTACTGGCAAGGTCACTGTTGCCAAACAGCTAGCCAAGATCTACTACGACATGGGCATCCTGGAGACGGACCAGCTGGCTGAATGCTCAGCCACCGACATCGTGGGCCAACGCCCCGGCGAGACCTCCGCAAAGAGCCGCGCCCAGCTCGACCGCGGCCTGGGCAAGGTACTCCTCGTCGAAGAAGCCCACCGCCTAGTCGAGGGCGAAACCACCGGCGAACTGGTCGACGAATTCGCCTACCTGCTCCCGAAATACGCCTCGAAGATGGTCGTCATCCTCGCCGGCCCGCAGGCGGAAATGGACAACCTTCTCTCCAACCGCCACAACCTCTCCAGCCTCTTCCAGGAGGAAATCATCTTCAAGAACCGCACTCCCCGCGAGTGCATCCGCCTCCTGGACCGTCGTCTAGACGAGGAGAAGGTTGGCGGAGCACGGCCCTTCCTCCGCGACCCCCAGTCGCCAGACTACGTCGAGTTCACCCGTGCCTTCCAGATGCTCATGCTGTACCCATGCTGGAGCAACGCGCGGGACGTCAACGTGCTCGCCCGCTGGATGGTCTCGGAGAGTCTGAAAGAGGTATCTCTGGAAGCCGCGCAGAGCGGAAACCTCGAACTGTCGATCACAGCCGACCAAGCCATGTCCTGCATGGTGCGGATGTTCAACGTCAAGCGGGACCGGCTCAAGCTGAACCAGGACACCAAGTCGAAGTCCGTGCCGCGGATGCTGTCGCAGCCACGCTCGGTTAGCCGGGGGAGCGTACGATTTCCGTACTGACTCTCATATGACAGGTGGGAGGGGGTGTGGATATTTGAACAGTTGGTCGAGTGATCGACTGATTGATTGATTGACGGACTCCACCTGCCTGTCTTTGGTATGCCGGTGATATGACCAGACTGGTACTTGCATGATTATGGGGAATTACGGGACCCGGGACAGAATGAACGGACACGATACGGATACGGATACGGATATACGGATATTATGATTTACGATTGATTATACCACTGCATGAGTTATGACTTACTATTTTCCTATGTTAGATGCTGGCATCATAGATACGAATTCATTGCATGATCTCTCACTTTACTCCATACAGTCTAGTCATTCCCTCGAAACTCGGGAATATGTAAATTATACCCTTTCGTCCAACCGGCCGGATCACCTGTATCCATCTCAAAATGCAGTTGAACATCCAGCCCTTCTCCAGTAGCCTTCTCCTTCTCGCCAGTCCCATCAACACCCCCATCCTCAACACCACCGCCAACATCACTAATCTCACAATAATTCCTCCTCGGCAAAAAAAGCCTATTCCTCCTCGCTCTCCCATCAACATCCTCCCCAAAAACACTCACCATCTTCTCCCCCGTCCTCTCCCCAACATAATGCGTCCTCCCGCGATCAACCCGATTCAAAATATCTGCCACCTTCCCGGCGGGCGGTTTGTTAGTGATAGCACTCGATATCACACACGCCATGTACCGCCCATCCCCCTCCTTTTGCGGACTAGGCTCATCCCTCCTCTTCCAGAACCGCACGTGATGTTTCCGCTCGCTGGAGGAGGGCGTGAAGAATTCGCCCACGGCGCCGAGATGTACATCGCCGGTTAGGAATGTGACGCGGATGTTTTTTTCAACGGCGAGTTTCTGGAGCGCTTCGAGGAGGAATTGGCGCTCGGTGCGGTGGTGGCGCGTTGTCCAGTGGTCGTCTAGGTCGTCGAGGATTTCGACGCTGCCGTCGAATTTGTTGAAGAGGGCTGGGGAGAGGAGGCCGATGCGGCCGAGGGCTTTTAGGGGGGTCATTAGCCGGGAGGAGAAGAGGGTTTCGAGAATGGAGAGGCGAGGGTAGATTATTGGCTTCGCCTATCAGCCTGATCCAGATTGCGTTGTTCAACCGGGGGATATTGGACTTACTACTCCTAAAAGGATGAGGAGGTGCTTCGTATCCGATGTAATCTCCCTCCTCAACCTCTCAAACACAACATTATACGTCTCCCAGTATACGATACGGGAACGTGTCCGCTCAGTCCGACAATCCAACCCCAAAAACACAACCCCAGGCCCCAACCGCACAAACACACTCCGACTAACCTGCGCAATATACGGCCCCGTACTCCCCCCCAAAACCCAACTCCCATCATTCCCCCCGGTTTCAGCGGTATCCCCTCCCCCGCTACCACTCCCACTACCAACCCCCCTCGCCGCTGCGCCAGGACTAACATGGTGCTGGAACAGCATGTAGTACCGCCACGCAATACCACCCAATCCCTTAAAAACATCTGACTCCATGGTTCGGTGCGGGTAGCTGCCGTACCCGTCGATGATGTCGTGGTCGTCCCAGATGTTTATGCTGGGGATGTGGGCTGCGGCCACACTATATAAGCCCTGGGAGAACCACCAGGTGTATCTTTGTAGAAAGAAAGATTCGAGTTCATCGCGCATGGTATTTGTGAATTGCGAGCGGAGTTTGGCGAGGGAGGTTGTTTCTGTCCAGCGGGAGAAGTTTGGGGATGAGAGGCGGGATTCGTCCGTGTAGAGTTGGTCGCCGCCGCCGAGCATTAGGTGGAATGGCCTGCCATTGTTTTTGTTGTTGGTGTTGCGACTAGGGTCCTTGTCATCAGGGTTGGATGGAGAGATATGTCTCCGTAGAACATCCCTCCAAAGCGGATCAGGCCCCGAAAACAAACCCGTATCAACACCCACCGAAAACCCATTACAGCTATGAAACATAACATGCATATTCTCCATGACCGCGGGTATCCAAAAATACTGCGCACAGGGGCTCCGATTAATCCGATACGATATCTGCATCGCACCCGTATCCTGTGGAATATACAGATCAAAGCGCCAGAACGTCACGCCGCGCTCTGTGTGGATCTGCACGGCATCCACTTTAAACATGTCCTCTTCATCTTCGTTGTCTCTGTTGAATTGAGTTGGATCAAGTAGATGCTCGGGCTGGGACTGGGGTTGGGGCTGGGAGTCGGGCCGGAAGAGGCCGCCTTCGCCGTGGAAGGTTGAGTAGTCGACGCCTCTTTGGACTTCGGTTGCGGGTTTGAAGGATAGTGGTTTGCCGGTTCGAGATAGTTTCTTTAGGTCTGTTACTGGGGTAGTTGTTTTGGAGAGGGTGAGTGAGGGGATGGGGGTGTAGGTTGATTGTTCATCGTCGGTTACGATTAGGATGCTTCCTCGCCAGGTGTTGTTCACGAGGCCGGTGAAGCGGAGAAGAGGGCCGCAGATGAGATATAATGCAGGATTGAAGGCATTGTCGGAGTCTTTATCGGTAGGAGGGTCGTTGGCATTGCCGTCGGGTTGAATGAATATATCCTCCTTGTTGGCGTGTACGTCCATTGTGACTTGCCATTGAGAACGACAAAGAGAACCACATATAGTGAGGTGAAGTGGGCGCCCCTATAAACTCGGGGTTATCTCATTCTGACTCGATGGAAGATCATCTTCCTGATGATAAGCGTCGTCATTGCTTTTTCCGGGAGCTAAATCTGTAAGTCAACTTTAATTGCACTGCCCAGCCAAGTCAAGTATAGCCGCAAGAAAAGAAGGAGAGAACTTCATTGGGTATATGAGGTACATCCAGCATTCCACCACATTAGCTAAGATAGCATAGCCATAGCCAGCAGACATGAAGCACACAAAGCCGCCAAATGTGGTATTAGATAAGGAAGAACCAAAAAAAAAAAAAAAACACTTTTGTAGGCATACACTGCTAATTGCAGTGCCGTAAACGAAAGCAAGGCATTAAACTTTTGAGAAGAGATGGACTGGTGCCAGCTCATCTCTGGTATTTTAGATAAGAGAAAATCCCGGTATTCGCCATGAATGCATAAGAAAACAAAACAACACATGCAGAAGAACAGAAGTGACCGAATGCTATAGCATCCAATCCAGTCCATTCGCCTCTTCTTCAATCGGAAACACCTCGCGCGCATATTCTTCCATGTCGCGCCACCCCTCCCACAGCTGACGCGCCTCGTCGGTCACGCGAAGCGAAATGACACCGCCGGGACCTTGCATCATGCCCGCACCCGCGCCCTTGCCGCCAGCGGGGCCCAACCCTTTGGGGGAGCCGGCGGCTGGTTGGGAGAATTCGGGTTGCGGGAAGTAGGGGGCGTTGCATTCGCCAAAGACGACTGCAAGCGCTTCCAGTTGTTCTCGATAGCCGGGAGGGATGTTGACTTTGATTTCAATTGAGTCGCGGATATAGTGGCAGGGGCGGTTAAGCGCTCGACTGAAAGCGGCGCAGACTTGGTTGGGGGAGAGTGTTTCAAAGGTCAAAGCGATTCTACATCATTAGCATCTGGTCATTGAAAAAAGTACGGGAAAGGAAAGTACCTATGACCCAACCACCTCTTCGGCCCATCCTTGAAAATCTGCAACAGCATGGGACCAACATCATGCTCGGCATCCAACCACGGCAACGGCACATCCGGATCAAACGGCGCATGCCACTCAAAACTCCCATCACTCATCAGCTCCATCTGAAACAGCGGATACGGCAGACTCGTAAAATTATTATTATAAATCCCCGCATACACAAACGTCGCAGGCAACTCCAACTGCCGCACATAATTCTCGACGGTGAATTTCGGCGCCCACAGCGGCACCGGCGGCCACGGTCCATGCACCGAATGATCAGGCATACTGCTGTAAATGTAGTGCTGGATGGTGCCGGCGCGCTTGGCGGCGTCGGCCAGGGCGCGGCCGATGGCTACCTCGTCGCCGGCTTGCGAGGTGGTGTTGATGAAGGCGAGCTGGGCACCGTGGAAGAGGGTATCGATTAGAGGGTCATTGTCGAGCAATGGGCCTTGGAAGAGAGTGACGTTGGGGAGGCCTTGGAGTTCTTGGGCGATGAAGCCTTTGAGGGAGTGGACTTGGGCGCGGACGAGGTAGCCGACAGCCGAGGCGACGCGAATGAGGGAGGCGGCCTGGCGGCCCGTGGCATTTACCACGGCGATAGTTTTCATCTGTAGGTAATTCGGGATGGTATTCGAGGGGAGGGGGTATGTATGTAGTAGAGAACGCGGGGGAGGATCCGGAGAGGAGGGGGACCGTCGGAGTGAGAGAGAAGAGGAAGGAGAAGACGAGTGTGAGGAGACAGAGAGGGAGTAGAGGATAAGAGGGAGAAGAAAAGGGGAGTAAAAGAGAGTAAAAGTCGAGATAGTCGAGAGAGGTTGAAGTAGAAGTGGTAGAGGAAGAATGGAAGATGAAGAGAGCACACAGTGGGGGGCGGCAACGAGGGGCAGAATAACTATGAATAATGGAATGCAGGAGAGAGCGAGTGAGAGAGTCACTAAGAGAGAAAGAGTCTTTAATATAGAAGGAAGTCTGTAATTCTAGAGTCGCAATGCACTCGGCAAATGGTGCGAGTTCCGGTGATACTGACAGTCCGGTGACTGTGACTCTGCTATCTATACCCAGGTCTGGCATTTGCATCCTATCCTATACCTCCTATATTCTTCCCCTGGTATAGCTCTATAACTCCTATTGTGTTGGGTCCAGCTGGCCGCCGTTTTCTTTTACGTAACAAATGAGGGAATTCTTCTGAAAATCACGTTTTTCTTCCGAGCTTTCAATTGCTTCCAGCAGTAGTATATCAAATATACATACACTGTAGTTATTCTTTATACCCAAATTACTACTACAGAGTACAGTATAGTATATCGACATCTACTTATACTAAGGCTTGGCTACTCGTGCAATCCCGCTTCTCCCCAGATCTCCGGCCGCCGTTGCGCCAACACCTCCGCCGCTGCCCGCTCGTCCGAATGCAGATGTGCCCCGGACTGTCGCAGCAGCTTAACATGCTCTTCCATTCCAGCATTCGCGGCCATGAACAACGGTGTGCGATTCTGGTTATTGCGCAGGTGAACCGAACCGCCTTGTCGGAGGAGGTATTCCAGGACCTCGAGCGAGGGCGATGTGGATGCGATATGCTGCATACCGTTAGCATGTGAATAGTCTAGTAGAGAGATAGAGCGCCTTACGATAGGCGTATTCCCCGAGTAATCTGCGTCATTCAACAACCAATGATGCTCCATCTTGACTATCACATCTACCCGCTGCAAATCGCCCCGAGCGATCGCATACCCCAGCATCGTGAGCGTCTGCGCCCGTTCCGACAACTCCCCATCCGGATGCCGGAACACCGGCTGCGAGATCTCGGTTAGTTCTCCGCGGAGCGACACGGCCATGTCCTTGGCAATCGACTCGGGTGTGCATTCGGGGATTGCCAGTAGATAAGCCAGTTTGGTGAGCGCGGCTTCGGTAGTCATATCCAGACCGGCTACCACTCCGGCACGCGAGAGACTCATTCCAGGCGCGTACACGGGACTGACACTGCCCGTGAGGCACTGCGTAACGTTCACAATCACAATCCCCCTCCCAATCGCATCCGCCAACACCTTGGTCATAGCATTATCCTGCCCATGCGGCGCATTCCCCGCCCCAAACGTCTCCAGCACAAGACCCCTCAACCCCTCCAACCTAAGCACCGCATCCACCATCTCCGGCTGAATACCCGGAAAGATCCTCAAGCAAGCAACATGTCTCGTATCCAAATCTGTACGGATCCCAAACGCCCCGATCCCGCGAGGCCTCCTCACAATCTCCCAGTTCACATTCGTGCGCGTCGAATTCGTCACAGCCAAAGGCGCATAGTTGGGCGATTCAAACGCCGCAAAGTCACTCGCTGCGACCTTGATGCACCGGTTCCCGCGGAACAGCCGATTATTGAAGTACAAACACACCTCGGGGATCATGAAATGGCCCGCGACGACCAGCGAGCCTAGCAGGTTTTCTGTGGCATCGTTCTGTAGCTCCAGCATTGGCGACTGCGATCCAGTCAACACAACCGGCTTGCCGAGATTCTGCAGCATAAAACTCAGCGCAGAGCACGTGTACGCCAGACTATCCGTGCCATGCAGCACCACGAAACCGTCGAAATGTGTGTAATTCCGCTCAATCGTCTCCGCGATCTCCGTCCACCCTTTCGCATCGATAGAGCTGCTATCCAGTAATTCTGGGAACTCGTAGACCGTGTAGCGCACTTTGCGGCCATAGGCTGTTTGCGGGGTCCGCAGGCTCGTGTAATCCCTCACCTCGTGACCATTTTCGTCAGCATTGTCGTTGATGACTTCTATCGGGATCGAAGGCGATTTATCATTAAAAGCAGGCATAGGCGCGAGACAGTGTTCTTGGAAATCGCGCGCGGGGACGAAGCCGTTTGGCGACTGGCGCATGCAGATTGTGCCGCCGGTCATGATGAGGAGGACGCGGGATTCGATTTCTTCGGCCATGATGGGTGATTCTATGTCTGTAGCTATGTTTGGACTTGTGGCCTGTGGTCTATTATGTTGGTTGTCTGGGGAAAGGGTGACATATGCTGACCATGTTTATGTGGTTGTATATAAGGCTGGAGTACTCCAACTGTTGGAGAAACCCCAATGTGGGTTGTTGCTGTATGGACTCGCTTAGTTGGAGTTAGCCTGGTGTCAGAGGATTGACAGTGAATAGTAAAAGCATGGGGTAATAGAAATACAGTAGAGGCAGAGTGGTAGAGTACTCCGTAGTTGAATGAGATAAGATGAGGGGTGTATCACGGTTGCATCAACCCCGGGTAAACGCTACATTACTCTACAGTACAAATATCGAGATTAAGAATTTTTTGTCTATTCTATATCGAACTCCGGGTATCTTTATTTACAAAAGCAAAGAAAATTTTTTTTTAATGGCCATAACAAAAGTTTAATGGCAATGCGGCTGGTTGAGGAGTACACCCTCGCCTTGCGACTCCTGTACTCCCTTGTACTCGTGACGGGCCCGGATGAACCAGTCTGTGAGAAGGATAAACACAACAACACCGTACACCGCGCAGACGTAATTCATGTCTAGGGTAACCGTTAGCACTTGACTTGTATAAATAGGAAACAAGGGAGGGAAACATACTGCCAGTAGTAACAGGCATGGTCGACGGGAACGAGTACATGACCAGACAGAAAACCGTCCAGAGCAGAGTGACAATGTTGGCGACAAGACCCCAGGTACCTAGCCAGAAAGGTCCGTGGCGGATGTTGTTGCGCCCGCGGTACCAGAGACACAGGATGGGGGTCGTGTACGAGATGTACAGGAGAGTAATGCATGCAGTCACCATACTGTTGAACGCGGTCGAGGATCCCAGGTAGAGAAGGCCAAGAAGACCGACAATGAAGCAGCTAACGTTGTGCGACATGAGCGGCACGTCGAGAGTCTTGTTGACCTGCGAGATCCACTGGTGTCCCGGAACGCCGCGGTCACGGGCGAACGACCACACAAGACGCGACTGCCAGGTGTGGCAGGCGATGAGACAGCCCATACCCGTGACAATAAGCAGGGTCTCCAGAACAATAGCGCCGGCCTTGTTGTTCAGGGCCTGGTAGTAGAGTTCCAGGATGGGGACCTCGGTGGACGAGTTGATGAGCTTGCCCAGGTCCTTAAGACTGAAGAACATGGAGATACAGTAGAACCACGAGGTGGTGAAGCCAATGCCCACGGTGGCCAGGATGGCGATGGGGATGTTGCGCTCTGGCTGGGGCACTTCTTCGGCCATGTGCGTGGCAGAGTCGAGACAGGCAAAGATCCAGTTCGGGTTGATGAGACCAACAATGAAAGCCATGCCGTCGGACTCCCAGCCGGTCGAGTTGACGAACTGCGCGAAGACGTAGTGACCGCTCTGGTGGCTGCTAGCACAGGCAGGGACGGCAATCAGGATGACGAAGAACGAGATCAACGAGATGTACAGTGTCCCCTTGGCCACCAACGGCAGGGTCTTTCCCCAGCAGTTAAACAGGTAGCAGAAGAAGTTGATCAGTTGGTAGACCACGACGACATGCCATGCTTCGATGACACTATTACGGTCAGCCTACAAACAAACGGACAGAGGGAAGATTGTCAGCCTACAAGTCAGGATGACCCAGTTTCCACATTCCTATAATACCTTGAGCCAGACTGAGAGCCACACTGGCACAGGCAAAGATAGCACCGGCATAACCAAACCAGCCGGTGAAGTAGGAAGCAAAACGGGCGTATTTCCGAGGAGCCAACTGACTGGCCCAGAAGTACTGCCCGCCAGCGTTGGGCATGGCACTGGCCAATTCCGACAACGACGTGCCCACACAAAGCGAGACGAAAGAGATCCATATCAATCCATACACCAGGAGAACGGTGCCTCCGGAACTGATACCAGTAATTAACGAGGCAGAGATACCGAACCAGGAGTTGGACATGCAAAAGGCAATACCGATCAAGGACAAAACCGAGAAGTTGCGCTGCAGGTCTTGGGTGTAACCCATCTCGGCCAACTTCATGGCATCGTTGTCATCGGCACCAGAGGCATTTTCGCTGGAGGATGCGGGCTTGACGCTCGGCTTCTTTTCTATATCAAGGTCGCTCATGGTGGATAGGTAAATAAGGTCAGTAGCGTAGGGACAACGGGATCAATGGGGACGAAGGTGCAAGGGCAACTGGGATCGAGTGCTGCACGGGTATTCGCTTTGGGTGTTAATTCAACAACGGGACGGTTCCGAGGGTTAAGGCCAGTTGCATAGGGCTGTCTTCTCGGGGAACTCGGGAAGTCGCTGTTGGATAAAGCTGCTGTGGCTGGAAGTTGCTGTGGGATCGATTCGGGATCGGGGTGGGGAGGAGATGTCGCTGCGGGTGTTGAAGCCGGATTGGCGATACCAAGGTACTCGGTACAGATACTGAAGAGCGAAGCGACACAGGATTACAGAACTGAATCTGCGTTGTTTTCTTGTTTCTCGAGTTATGAACAGATGAGTCTCACTGTAAGTCTGTAACCTGGTGAGGAGAGTGAGTGAGAGAGAGATGAGGGGAGATAGAAAGAGAATAAGGAAAGAAAGGTCTAGGCGAAGAAAAGGTGCCTGACAAGTGCTTCAGTTGAAGTCGAACAATAAAACAAAGAAGCCGGATGGACACCGGGCCGTATTTAACAGGGCAAGAAGTCTCTTGACTCTCTGAATCTTTTCTTGCTTCGACCACAGTCCATTTTGGGTATAGCTTTCTCGGCGGGTCACCGCGATATCACTATTCTCTCGGATTGGGTATTATGGCTGACAGCCCACCAAAATTCCGGAGCACCATACCTAATCTGGGCATGCACTCGACGGTGACGAGATCGAGCGTCTCCGATTGGTCTGTTGGACGCGTCATAGCGTCATTTGGTGGGCCTCAGCCGCTTAGCGCTGGTTCTACTAGTCTGGAAGTGGTTAGAGTGGACTTTGGCGCCGCATTAGCCCGAGGTTTTTCCCGTGACTTCAGCGGGCTCAGAAGGGCAAAGATTTCCTGCCGAGAGTTTGATTTTTCGAGAAGTTTAGATATCACTTGGTAGATAAACATAGATATGGACAGAGATAGTAGTGTATAGATATGAGGGGATACAGGATTAACTATTTACTGTACATAGATATGTACGTACAGAGTAATATGAGAGATTAATGGTAAGTTCTACGATCACACGTCACTGTGGACTGAGGCGATTCTGATGCATTGTTTTAGCATCGGAGAACTGTGGAGGCCAGGCGATTCCTTTTCTGTACGGAGTACATACATAGTATGAGTCTCTCAACACATGGTAGTCGCTGCATGTACCCCATGGTACAGAAGCACGTCAAAAGAGACTCTGTGGCTTCATGTGTTACAGTGTTATGAGCATCACAACTACAACTATGCGATTTTCTCAGTATGACTGCCTGTCCGGAATAGTTGTACTTGTATGTGCAGTTGTGCAGTTGTGCAGTTGTGCAGTTGGAGAACAATCATTACCCCATCCGGAACCGTTGGCTTCCTTAATAACTTCCGAAACCTCTGAAAACTTTTTTCCTCCGAATCAAGGCAGACTCGTAGATTCCATCCCGAGTCCGAGTCCACTCATTAATTTAGCTTCATTCAATCTGGTTATCCTCATTATGCTTGGCTTAACCTTTTTGACGGAACGGGACGTTTGCTGGAGTCTGTGGAGCGTCAAAAACTTGATTGCGCGTGTTTGTAGCTGTGTTGGTCTCGGAGCATGCAGGATTTGTACTCAGAGTAGGGACAGCATTGCCTTTTCGGGATGATATCAGATTTTGACTCTTTTGAGTAAGATAACCTAAATCGTAGGGCATCTCGGGCCCGGAAGATATTCAGTCTTATTAATATCAGGTGACCCGTGGACTTTGCAAAATATCTCGTCCTGCACGCAGGTTTATATAAAAGCAGCATCCTGTTTGACCTGCCGCGTAGACATGCTCACTGGCAGTCAACCTCTACCAACGGGAGTCTTTGCATGAACTATCCACAGATCGGACAGGGGTCAGGTACGGATAAAACCGTCGAGGATTCATCTGTTTCATTTGTTTATCTGTAACCGTCACAGATTCTTGACATCTGAATGTATCAGAATTGTATATCACAGATGCCATACCCCTCTCTCTTCTACTACAAGTACTCCTCACCTGAACATACTCCGGACTACTCCATACAGGATCAGGGTACGTATTGTATTGTACTGCACCTGTATGGTAAACGGATTACATGATATCACCGTTTCATGTCTCATTTCCCATCCAATACCGAGCCAATCACACGGCGTTCCAGGAGAATAGGGGGCTGGCCAGGACAACTGCTCGCCAGGCACCGCAGCCCCTAATTGGCCAAATATAGCGGGGGGTCCCTCCTGAAAACGCCCACGTTTCACAGAATGCACCCCACCAGGGGTTTTCTAGCGAATTAGAATTCAATAGTCGGCATATGTATCTTGTATGTTATCGTGGTATGTATTGGTATTTCATAGATTACAACACGGCAGAACAATCAACTCGCAACAGATCTCGATGTGAGCATGATAAAATAGAGAGATGGAATAAAAATAATATAGAAAAGAATATAGTATCAACAACATACATTCTGGATATCTACAGATATCTACAAGTATCCAAGTAGATACTTGTGAAAAATAAATACACTTGGCTGCGGTCTAGCGCGGCGGTTGGCTTTGCACCATCCCTTTCGGCCTCTATCCCTATTCTTTCAATTACTGTCTTTGTTCCTTTTTCTTACCCTCTCTTCCCCTCTTTTTCTTTTTCTCTCTCTCACTCATTGAGGAATTGCTCTGATTTTCGTCTATTTCTTGCAGTTTTCGCTGCTGTCATTCGTTTTTGCTGGTGAGTTCCATTTTTGTTATGTGTTGTGATATTACCGCCCCTCTCCGAGGACGAGGACAACGGGAGAGATACGTCGAGGACCGAAAAGAGACGAGAATAGGAATAAGGATCCCACGAGCACGAGCGGTTCGAATCGAAAACTACACGAGGATCTAAAAATACAGAGGAGGATGCGATGTTTCCAAGATGCGCGGCGCTGCGATTCGCATTCATATGAAGCCATGACTTGACCGCCGATTGATTGATATCAATATCGCGACGACGCCTCGATTGAACCCTCTATATCGTTCTTCTGGCACCGATTCTATGCCTCATCCACTGCTCCGTATGCGCTCGGCAGTCGCGTGGCGATATTTCCAGCCCAACAATGCAAGGAACGCCCCTTTTCCTGTGGTTCCAAGACACAGCCGGCCACCGCAGTGGCTTTCCGGCTTTGCTTCGCCGACGGTGCTGTTTCTCCTTGGCCCATCTGGTCCTTGCGATGTTTCGGCTCCTTGGTTGGGGCTTTTTTGGTTCACGCTCGTCGTTCTTTTTTATCAGGAACCCGTTGTCCTCGTCCTTGTCTTTGTCCTCGTCTTATTTATCCTCGAGTCTCTCCTTACCCCTATACTATCACTTGTCGCGTTGATCGCTTGATTTATTCTAACGAGTCTAGTTTTTCGGCGGTTCTCGCTCCTGGTGACACTTCGTAGCCGTCCCATTCGCTCTTTCAACAAACTCACTTATTCACTCCTTTGCTGTTTATTCTTTTCGCATCGTCAAGACTCCTCATTTTTCTTGAACCCTCAACATGACTCGTTCCGGCCGGCTCAATGTTGGCTTTGTCTCCTATCTGGCTGCCTTCGCTGGCATGGCTGATGCCTTCTGGCGTATGCCCTGCCGCGGACGTTCCGGTTTGGCGAGAATGGATCCTCTGATGGACCCTGGTGAGGCTTCGTACCACGTCCACACTGTCCATGGATCTGGCGGTTAGTACTCTGTCCCCTGATGCTGTCCCATACATGCTAATCTCAGATTTTAGCGTTCTCTATGGATGCCGATAGTGACACCTTGAAGAACGGTGACTGTACCTCTTGCGCCGTTACCCAGGACAAGTCCGCCTACTGGACCCCGGCCTTGTACTTCATGCACGAGAACGGCACTTCCCAGATCGTTGAGGAAGTTGGTGGCATGCTTGCGTAAGAGCCCTAATGCCTTGACTTTTATTCTATTATCAAGTCTAACTAATCTCGCTGCTAGGTACTACCTCTTGTATGGCGACAATGTTCAGGCCTTCCCTGAGGGATTCCGCATGCTTGCCGGTGACCCCTTCCAGCGCAACTTCACCTGGCCCGTCCCCGATCCTCCCAAGTCTGAGTGGACCGGTGACCAGGGCTCCCAGGCGGCCCTCAAGCAAAAGGCCCTTGGTTTCAACTGCTTGAACTACAACGGAGCGGCCGAAGCCTCTCTTGGCCGTCACTTCTTGCCCAACAAGACTTACCTGGATGAGCATTGCACTGATGGTGTTCGTTTTGAGATGATGTTCCCCTCTTGCTGGAACGGCAAGGATGTCGACAGCGATGACCACACCTCGCACGTCGCCTACCCTTCGCTGGTCATGGACGGTACCTGCCCGGAGGGCTTTGAGACCCGTATCGTTTCTCTCTTCTTCGAGACCATCTGGAACACCTACGCCTTCAAGGACTACGAGGGTTACTTCGCCTTGGCTCACGGTGACCCTACCGGATTCGGCTACCACGGTGACTTCATTCAGGGCTGGGATCAGGACACTTTGGAGGCTGCGGTCAAGCAATGCACCAACCCCTCCGGTGAAATTCAGGACTGCCCTTTGTTCGACATTCAGAGCGAATCCGATGAGTTGCAGTGCAAGTTCGAGGTCCCCGATGAGTTGAAGGACGAAGAAGAGGAGGTCGAGACCTGCACCACTGGTCTTGTCAACGGCCTGGCCGTCGAGTGGGGTCCTCAGTACGCCTTCCCCATCTCGTACAGCACTTCTACCAGCGCCAGCGCCCCCGGTGTCTCTGTATCCGCATCTGTCGGTCTCGACCTCAACATTGGTGGCCTTTTCGGCAACCTCTTCGCCGGGTCGAGCAGCGCTACCTCCTCGGCCGAGCCCAGCTCGTCCTCCACTCCCGCTGCTGCCAACTCTAACGCTGCTGCCAACTCTAACGCTGCTGCCAACTTGGTCGCTTCCACTCCCCAGTCGACTCCTACTCCCTCCAACACCCCCACTCCCACCCCGACGCCTACCTCCACGACCCCGACTTGGACCCCGACTCCCACCTCGTCTTTCATCTCGGGTGTTGTCGAGGAGGACACCGTCATCTACGCGCAGGAGGTCAAGGTCTTGGTTGACCAGGACCAGAAGCCCTTCGAGACCGAGACTGGCAGCTTGATGACCCTCTCCACTGCTACCACTACCACCACTGACGTGATCTCCACCGCCGTCAGCATGGTCACTGAGGCTCCCCGCAAGCGCCACTACCACGGCCGTCACCACCGCCGCAACAACTTCTAAACTGGGAATGAGCGGCGGCCCTGAGGACTCATCTCGTGTGTCTCTCATCTCTCGGGCCTGAACTGTGGCCTGACCATTTCTGATTGGATCTGTTTTTATCTTCCTCTGTGTTTATTTTTTATTTTTCTCTTCTTTGAGATATCCTTCATGTCCCCAGTTTCCATTCACAGAAAATATGTCAAATGATTTTGTTTGGAAACTTTTTGACCCTGTTATATCTTTTCAATTTTATGTACATGTTACATACAGTATGCTTCTCGTCCCAGAGGGAATAGGTGAAGCTAAGACTAGGTTCTTGGTTTCTCTTGATGAGAGCTGAGATGAGTCCTGTTAAATATAGTCAATGTGAAGTACAATCCAGTTTCATGATTTTGTTTAATTTGTATTTTCTTTGTATTTTCTTTGTAGTGCTTTGGGTATTTGCATTTCTGATCACCGAATACTAACAGGTTTGTACTAGGGTAGATTTTGTTTCTGATCTTGCCCTGAGGCCACAATGCTTTGAATGATTTTCTTTTTCCATATCTCCCTCCCTTCTTTTTCATCAACTCCATCCTTTCCCCTTCAGTTTCCCATATTCGACTTGAATCACTCTAATCGTGCCGCGTTGGTTTATCCACCACGCGTCCATTCTCCCAGCAAAATGGATGCAAATGAAGATACTTCTCCAGAGGAGCTGCCAGCTCCATCTGGCAAACAAGGCGACCTAATAGACCATCCCCAGTCCTTAGTCGAAACCAGCCTCTCCCAACCAGTTCTCTTCTGCGACGTCAACCTCTCGCAACGAGACGTCCACAACTGGTCCAAGAAAGATGCTTTTCGCCATTTCTACGTGAACTGGTACCTTCCCATCATTCTCTTCAGATACGCTATCAAGTACTGATGAATAACCAGGCGCGAAGGAATGAACCAAGTCTTCCAATTCACCCCCCGCCCCTCAATCAACCACACCGAAACCAACGACTTCGTCTACATCAACACCGCACAACCCATCCAAACAGATCCCTCCTGGGGCTTCATCCTCTTCAACAAAGAGAAAGGAATCCTATCTTTCAATATCAGAGACGGCCTGAAGCTCCGCAGATACCTCGACCATGGCCAGCTGTCAGTGTCGTCGAACAACCTCCTCAAAGCCGCGATGGTCATGACCCTGGCTGGGTACCAGGTGCGTTTCGAGAGCCGTCAGAATCAGTGGGATTTCTTCTTTAGTGAGACTGGGTCGTTCTGCTTTACGAGGGGTTCGTCGACGGAGGATGTGTTTTTGGCGTCGTTGAATCAGTTTTCGAATGGGAGTGCTCCGCCTGAGAGGATTTCGACGGGGGATTTGGCTATTACGATTGGTCCTGGGGGTTTTGCGACACATCGCAGGGTTATGCATGAGCAGTTGATCAAGTGGCTCGGCGTTACTATTGAGATAACGAACTTTTTCCAGCCGCATCAACTCATATGCACTCCACATGGTGATCTTATCTGTGACCCTGAATTTGTGAATAAGATCTTCGTCAACGGAATCCAGGTGTCCAATCCGAAAGTCGGATCCTTTCTGTTAGGGTATCATTTTCGTGATGGCCAGCTCGCATCTGATGGGGTCTTGGTTCTCTCTGACAACGAGGCGAAGCTGCGGACTCTGATCTGGGAGACTGCTATAGGGGCGAACGCGCATAATGTCAGAGTGCTCATTGCGGTTTTGAGGCTTAATCCGGGTGCGCTTGATGTCAGGGGTGTGGGAAGGTTTTTGGGAAATGAGAGTGTGAGGAGGGTTTGGGAGGTGTTGGTGGAGGATTTGGGGAGGGAGAAGATATTTTGTCGGGAGACGGTAACACACCTCGCTCGTGTGGCCTTAAGAGTTTACTAACTTGTCTAGGATGACTTGAACGAGGTCAAATGCCGCACAAACAGGGAGATCGTGGTTTTGTCCAGCGCTCTCTGGTCGATACTCCGTGCTCCGCTATTAATTCGCACCTGGACCGAAGAACTCCTCTACAAAGCTCCCCCGTCTGAACCCGCACTCGACACCCCCTTCGCCATAACAACGAAACGCGTCTTTGACACCCTAATCCAACTCGACCCCATAACCGCCAATCTAACCATAACCTGGGTGGACCATCCCCTCAGTTCGCCCCTAGTTTACGCCGACGCAAAGACCCAGCGCATCTTGCTAAGCAAGTACTGGCTGCACTTTATACACGCACACAACCTTTCCCCGTGCAGACTGAGCGATGTGGCCAGACAACGAAAGGTGAAATATAACTATCTCCAATGCGACCATATCGTTCTCACTATGCATAGTAAGATTGTGGAGCTCGTTTCCCAGCGGCCATGCGGGTATCCTCCTGTGTACATGGTGAATTGGGCTATAGCCGTGCAGCAGATGGCTACTGAGAAGCTCGAGGAGATACCAAGGTGTGTCGAGGTCGTTGGTGATACTATGGATCCGAGTAGGGTGTTTGTGACGTGGGAGCTAGGGCTGTCGCAGCAGGCTGTAAAGTTCGTGCAGAGTGGGTACCATGTTGTGCTTCATAGGGGGGATTGTGGGGTTGCTTTGGTGCAGCTTGCGCATGATGGTGGTGAGTTCTTCTTCCTTCTAACTTGCGGATAATGTTAACATATCTGCAGAAGTAGATGCTTCATCTCCCACAGCACCATGCGGCTGTCCCCATAGGGTCCTTGGCCGACAAGAAACCCAAGCCACATTCGAAGGCCTCTTTCCCATGCAAGCATACATACCTGTCGTCTCCCTCAACACCAAAAACTCCATATACGCATCCATCACTAAACCCTCAAACCCCAACCGACCAGTCTCTGCATCTCCACCCCAACAAGCAACAGACCCACCCGAAATCGAAGCAATCCGCCGCGAACACTCGGTAAAATTCAACGAGGACTGGCAGAAAACAACTTTTCCCGTCCTATTCGCGCAGTTCACCCCGCGGATTGGCATTACCGGTCCTGGCGCTGAGTTGATTGGTGCTTTTCCGCCTGTTCCCGTGGCTGTTTTAGAAAGTCCCCGTCTAAACTTCCGGTTCGAGAGGTCTCAGTACGTGAGCGTACGGGCTCATTCGGGCTTGGGGGAAGGAGATGCGGAGCAGTTTATTTTGTACATCTGTGGGATTCATGTACCGGGTGCTGTGAATCATTTGCAGGGGGAGGGCCGGTTGATGGTGACTGTGTTTTCGTTCTTGAGGACTACGTCTTTGTGTTTGTTTCATCTGGGGTTGACATCGCTTGCACAGGGACAGGGGAAAGAGGACGTTGGATTGCGGGAGTTGCTGCTGCATTACCAGAACTTCGATACGATGGGACATCGACAGGATGCGATTATCTTCCCGATTGAGAGTATCGAGAGTGTTGAAGCTGTCAACCCGACTTCTTTGGGGCCGTTTGAGGCCGTGCAGTACACCGTTGATCCTCCTGGTGAGCACCCCCTATCCACTTAACATACAACACAAGACTAACAGCATAGACCCCTTACGGACCGGCTACTACTGTCGCTTCGCAGTCCGCTGCAACGGACCACCCGATTCCGCAGTCATGATGCCCGTCGCCTCGCATTTGCTCACTCATTCCAAGCGCTGGCCGGAACCGCAGTATATTTCCGGTGCGCCGTCGGTTATCGATTTGACTCCAGGATGCCTAGGGCCAGCGGAGGGGTTTGCGCAGGTTGGTGCGAGGATTGATGCGGCGATGGGGTTTGATGCTGTGAGGAATTGCACGTGGAAGGTATCTATCCTATTCCTTCCTCTACTCCAGGTTGACGGTGCTAACTGAAAAAAGGCACGATATCCATACGCCAAAGTCTACGACGGCCCCATCGAAACCGTGCTCAACGACCTCAAAAGAAAAAGACTCAACCAACCCCCCAGCGACCCTCGCAGCCAATCACCAAGAATCATCCTCCTCTCGCTCCCTGAAAAGGAAAAAGAACTACAGCAATGGGATCGCAGTCTCGAGGATGCAGAGATCTTCCGGACAATGCCGTTAATTATCTCCGCGTTCACGCAGAGACCTGATTTTCTCGTTCTTTCGCTTCCAGCATGGGTACTTGTCGAGCGTGCGTGGCTTGAGTTGTTTAAGGGGATTTGGACACTTCTGACGAGTCGGTATGCGGTTCATATGCGACGTGTTTCGTTTACGGATAATGGGCTGGCTCGTGAGGGGTGCATGCTTGTCATTGTTGCTTCATGCGTTCCGACGCCGATTCCTTGGGATGATATCTTCGCGACGACAACATCAAACCCAAAAGTAACCGTCCAAACCGTCATCAGAGACCTAGGCTTTTCCAATCCCCGCAACACCACCGGACCTCAAACCACCGGCACTGGCACCGGCCTAATCTGTAAAAACCCCCAAACCTCCACCGACGTCTACAACCACCAAACTCTCACCCTCAACACCCCCTCCACCAACCCCCTCCCCCTCCCCCAAGAACACACCCTAAACACCCCCCTCTCCCTCCCCCGCCTAACTACAACAACCCACCCCATCACCCTCACCCCAGTCCCCCACCCAGCCGGCCCCATCCTCTTCCCCTCCCTCTCCGCCGCAATCCGCCCCCGCCCCGATCTGCCCCGCGAGTACACGCAGCCGGTGAAGAACCCGCGCGGTGGCGATCTGCTCAGTATAAGAGAGATTGCGCGCGTGCAGGGGTTTCCGGATGATTTTGTGTTTCTGGGGCAGGTGGGGTGGCAGAGGAGTGAGGTTTTGGGGGCTTGGCCGGTTTTTGTGGGGAGGTTGGTTGCGTTTGGGGTTAGGGGGGTTGTTAGGGAATTTGGAGGGGTTGTTGGTTGTGTTGGTGGGAGTATGGGTCAAGGTGTGGGTGGGAATGTGGGTGCTGTTGCGAGTACTGCTACGAGTACCGCTACGAATACCGCTACGAATACCGGTGGTCAGCAGAAACAGGGCCAGGCGCAGAAACAGGCACAGCGAGGGAAGAAGAGGAGCCGGGAGAGTTAGCATGTTGTTGTACGACTATGTACGGAGTAGTGGGTTGTTAGTGATAGCTCCGAAAGGACTTATGTCCTTGAGCTGGAAATTTGTTTTCCCAGACTGCGTAGGTTGTACAACCCCTTAAATTATTTCTTGTGCTTGTAGACGTGGCTATATCCATCAAGCTGAATCCTGAACTATCTGCCACCCTGTCCTAGTTGACTTGCACACAATGGTCCTGGTAGTCTTCATTTACAGAAAAGACGCCATTCATTCTGATCTCAGCCCTAGGCAGTTCCTGGTCGACAAGAATTGTAATATCAGATTATCCGATTTCGGGGGATCGTCGGTACAGGGGTCAGAGGCTATTGTCATGGAGGATGCTATGCATTTTCTGCCGCGGGATGAGGATTCGTCGAATACTGTAGAAAATGATTTGTTTGCGCTTGGGTCTACTATTTATGAGGGGGGTGGAAGGGGGGGAGGTTCGGCGTCGCTTTGAAGAGAGGGTTTCTCCGGTGCTGGATGGGGTTGGGGATTGGGGGTGAGAGAGGGTTGTGAGGAAATGTTGGATGTGTGAGTATGGGCGGGCAGGGGACATTTTTGGGGATGTTCCGTCTGGTTCGTGGTTTGAGCGCGTCTTCGGAAGGGTCCAGCGTGTCGTCCCGGGACTATGCTTGTAGAATATGGTTAGGGTTATAAGGTACCCGAAATTACGTAGCTATCGGTCCACAGTCCCCCGTTCACCCCCAGTTTACTCTTGTCCGTATCGGGTGATGCCTATCCGAGTGCGATTGCGGGGCAAATATATACCCCAGAGTATCCCCGGAACAGCATCCTAACTTCAATCCAGACAACATACAATCTCCCAATTCAAACAGACACAATCAACACTTACCCTACACAACTATCTAAAGTAAAACTGCCACCATGTCCATGACATCCACCGATTGCGCTGTCACCCGCGACGGCTTCCCCCGGCCCACCCCAAACACACCAACAAACGTCCTCGAACAACTCTCGCTACAAGGAAAAACGATCGTTATCACCGGCGCGGCTGATGGAATTGGATATGCGGTTGCCGAGGTCATGGCTGAGGCTGGGGGGGATGTTGCGTTGTGGTATAATTCGTATGTCACCTCGGATTATGAGTGGTAAGGGGAGGGTGAGGGGTGAGGAGAGGGAGCTAATGGGAATAGGAATGATGCTGCGGTTGCGAAGGCGAAGTATTTGGGTGAGACGCATGGGGTTATGGCGGTTGCTTATAAGGTTGATGGTGTGTGCACCTTATATGAGTATAGATATGGATATGGATGGTGCTAACGAGAGTAGTATCGAACTACGATAACGTCCAGCAAACGATGAACGCCGTGGTGAATGACTTCGGGAAGATTGATACGTTCATTGCAAACGCTGGCATGGCTATCTCCAAGCCCCTTCTTGAACAGACACTCGACGAGTACCGGAAGCAGATGTCCGTCAACGGTACACCTCACCCAACTTCACCCAATCTACATTTCATCTACTAACGAACGCACAGTCGACGGCGTCCTCTACTGCGCCAAAGCCGCCGGCACCATCTTTTCCGCCCAAAACTCCGGCAACCTAATAATAACCTCCTCCATGTCCGCACACATTGTCAACGTCCCCGTCGACCAACCCGTCTACAACGCCACAAAAGCCTTCATAACACACCTCGGCAAATCACTCGCCCGTGAATGGCGCGACTTCGCGCGCGTGAATATCGTCTCCCCGGGATTCTTTGAGACGAAGATGGGGGCTAGTCCGCAGACGGTGCAGGAGGCGTATCGGATGGCTGCGCTGGGACGGCAGGGCGATGTTAAGGAGATTAAGGGGCTGTACTTGTATTTGGCGAGTGGGGCGAGTTCGTATATGACGGGGAGTGATGTGCTTATTGATGGGGGGTATACGTTGCCGTGATTGTGAGCGGAGCGAGCAATGGGACTTACATTTCGATGTTGGTATTCATGCAGCTCAAGAATCTTTCAATCTTGTGATGTGGTTTTTCTTCTCGACAACCCGTTATGGATATTTGCAATCAGATGGGATTCTGGTGTGGGTTGCCGCCGATAATTTTGAAATCATCCAAGGTCCCAGTATCACCGGATTGGAACGACCTCTAAAGTTGTTACCAAATCCACCTTCTCGTCCTTTCCAGTTTATAAACCCATCCAGCCCGTATTATGCGCAAGCGGCGTTCCAGATCATCGCCAGACTGCCGCTGGACGCACCGTACAGATGGATGTTCCTCAGTCTGACCCTTAGGATCCCCTATGTAGACAGTAAAATGCGCTTGAGCGTTGACAGCCGCTATTCTTCCTGTTGTTTTACTTGCATGTAATTCAATAAATTGGGTACCTTCTCAGTCAGTGTTTGCTGTCTGGATGTGTTGATCTACCTGGCCATTCGATGCCGGTTCGATGCTGCAGTCCACCACCTCAAGCTCAAGTCGGCGTCGCATGATGGCGTTTCTTCATCCGGGCTCCGAGGAAAAGTCAGTATATCTGCTTTGAACATGGTGTATGGTGTTATTCGCCGTGTGTAGCCAGGTGGTCTGTCCAAACAGCATCCGAGTTTTGTCAGAGCTGTCTTTGAAGAATTTGTATCTAGAGGACAGGCTCATTGCTTCATCCAAGCATATCGCAGCCAATGTTCATTTTCTCACCATTTCTGTCCTCATATGCATGAGGGTTTTCTCCATGTCCATAGTGACCGGGAATGGCTTCACTTCCACTATGGCATGACTATTCTCTTCTCATTCTCGGAACGAGAGCATCTGTCAACGACAGTTCAGGGAGTGCGCTGAACGCAAAGGTGGTCGATTTCGACAGACATATTTTTTGCTCTCTTCGAGGACTTCTTCCTCATTATTTAGTCTGTATTTAGTTCTTTGGATTGGATGACTGCTTCGTCACTGTTGTCTGGAAATACCTGACCCAAGCAGTATTGCTACTTCTCTCTGATCCTTTCTTGATCATTCTTTGAAGTGTGGTGTATCTCACTGGGTGTCATAGCTTGGAGAACAGGCCCCTTGCCTCATCGAAACAAATGATGGCCCGGGGTTCATTGGGGGTTATTGACCGAGCGTGTCAGGTGTAGAGCTTGTTGATTTCAACAGACGCATCTACGATCTCTTCAAGCTGGGGAGATCCTGAATCTGCATATTGGCAATGCAGTCTTCATACATTCCAAGCTCTTTTCGCCTTTGTTAGGACACTGGTTTTGTTAAAAGCTGATCATTGACCATCTTTCGTAGCAATGATTTAGACACATGTTTGCTGCCCCAAGGATGGTACCCACTCCTTGAGAGTCATCGCCTCAGAAGACGAGAGGACATTGCGCGCTCGTCCAGGATCTCGATCGTTTTCGAAGAAGCAGTAAACAATGTTTCCCACTGTGAACCAACACCTAATAATGGATCTACCACCTGTTAGAGACTAAACTCCCTATCACTGTACATGTTACGCATTGTGTCTTGTAAGAAATGGAGAAGGTCATTCCTTTTCTCCAGTAATGTAAAGTATGGTCCGCGGCCAGTCTGATCATAGAGTCCATTGCCTCATCCCTGATGGCCCACCCGAAAAGATCCAGGGACCGCCGAATATCCCTAAACGAGAGACCCATACGCGGGCTTAATAGTTGTGGAAGATTTTGATTCTCTGGGCGTGGGTGCGCATGCGGCTGTTTGCAAAACTCTTTGAGTTCCCATGCCTCCTAGACCCCAGATTTCCACACGAGCGAGACGGCGTTGTCGTCCATCTTTTTGAAATATTTGAAGAACATACGATGATCGACTGGCTGGTGGCAGGAGCACGGAGATGCTGGGCGGCAAAATTCTGGTCTCCCGGTGCTCTTAGCATTGGGACCTTTGCTCTTATTATCGAAACTCACTGATCACTATGTTCTCCCCGGTAGCGGAGACAACACTACAACCCCTTGGTCTTTTCCCGGGTGGTCCGTTGTGATCTATCTGGAGTCATAGGGCTGGAGACTAACGATTTTGAGCGGGAAACCAGAATCAAAAAAGAAAAGAAGGCAACAAAGACCACGAGATGGCGTGGCATCTGCTCAGAGGCAGAGTATACTGCAACGACATGTAGCAGGTGAAGTCTTCTGACGAGTGAACGAAATGAGACAGGCTTTCCTGTCCGTTTTCCACAGTGCCCAAAACGGTCCATTTTGGAAAAGACACGCATCGTTTTGATTAGGATAGGTATATAGCCGTGTATAACCGTAGAGCCCATGTCAATGCAGTGCTCGAACCGCGAGTCCGTTCACAAACACGAGAGCCGGAAAGTCCATTATCGACTCTCGCTGTCTGTCATTCACCAGCTATATTGAGTCCATCACCGTGCGCACCCCCAGACCTCTTTAGGGGTCCGTTCGGTGAAGAGCGGGGTTATTCCCCCTTCTTCGAACTCCTTCAGCGCAGTATCGAGTGTTTCGATGATTCGCTGGCGATCCGGATACTCCAATGAACTCGGACATAACAACCAATGCCATCCATCGTAATACCAAGACCCCCAAACCCCCTTCCCCCTCCTCTCCAGTACTTCTCCCTCCTCTCTAGTAAACCCCCTCATGCAAGACATGGGCATGGCACAGACAGCATATGATCTCGGCTGAGTATAGAGCGGGGGCCAATTCGCAGTTTCCAGGAATATTCTCTGGAAATGCGCCATGTGAGCAGGTCAGGCATTCAGTAGGGTGCCTCGGTCAGCCCCGCGGAGTGATGATCCCTGTGATCTTATGCATGCGACGGGCGTTAGATGTATCGGAGAATAAACCACATGGAGCACTTACTTGTACATGAACTTGTACAACTACATGTTGTAGATGTTACATTCTACCAGCAAAGGTGGTTATGAACGTACTACGGACTAATGGAGAGCGAATAAAAGTACTTGACAACTCGCTTAGCCGATCCCGTGACCCAGGCGTTTTTTCTACTCGTTACAGTAAGTATACATTGTCAACCTCGCGTCCCCAACATATAATTGTATTTTTTGGTGCCAAATAATTGCCTGGGGCCAATCAAGGCAAAATGAAATCGAAAATGCCTTTACCACACTACGCCTTGCTATACCCCATGCTTACGCTTATTTTCGTTTGCGCTTTATTCTTGTTTAGCACCTTCCTATTCCAATGCAGGGGTCCGTCACCCTTGCCATTCAACATCTCGGCCTCGCCCGGCAGCCTACAGTATGCCTGGGATAGCAGAATGCAGTATATATACAGCTCTTTCGCTGGCTTGTCTGGCATCTCATTGTCCACAGACGACTTCAATATGCTTTTCAGATCGATTTTTACCAGCGCGATGATCCTGTTCTCGGGGAGTAGTGTTGTACAAGGCGCTAGCTCTCCGGGGTGTGGGAAGGCACTGCCTAGAGTGCAGGAACCTGGTGGGAGTTTCTCGACGAAGATCACCACGAATGATGGGCGAAAGCGCTCGTATATCATTCACATTCCCTCAAACTATGACGAGAATAAGCCGGTGCCGGTGATATTCTCGTTTCATGGACGGACACGGACGGCGGAGTCGCAGGAGACACTGTCGCTGTTTAGCAATGAGGAGTATAATCCGGATGCGATTGCAGTTTATCCTCAGGGTATCAAGGTATGTTTCTGTGTGAGTGTGGGAGAGTGAAGGACGGAAGCTGATCTGATGTGTCCAGAACCAATGGCAAGGCGACCCCAACTCTCAAGGGATCAACGACATCAGCTTCACGCTGCAGATGCTTGACCACTTCGAAGACCGCTACTGCATCGACCGAACCCGTGTCTATGCCGCGGGTAAATCCAACGGCGGCGGCCTGACCAATCTCCTCGCCTGCGACCCAACAGCCTCCAAGCGATTTGCAGCCTTTGCCCCCGTCGCGGGCGCATATTACCAAAACGTCACCGAGGACAACTGCAGACCCAACACGGTGAAGATCCAGTGTAATCCCGGCCGCACACCGATTCCCATGCTCGCGTTCCACGGCACCGCGGACGAAACGATCCAGTATACAGGGGGCGGCAGACGCGGGAAGTGTTTGCCTTCAGTACCGCATTTTGTGCGAGAATGGGCTGGACGCGACGATCTGGGGGGGAAGAACGAGACGACGACGACGGACGGCGGGAAGGTAGAGGTTTCGAGGTTCGGGGACCATGGGGAGGTGGTGCATTATCGGATTGAGGGGTTAGGACATGCGTGGCCGAGCACGGAGCCAAACAGTGATAATCCGGATGGGACGTATATGGACGCGACGCCGCTAATCATGGGGTTTTTTGATCAGTGGACGTTATGATGATCAGGGTCTGTCATGATAAGTGTACGATAGAATAATGAACGACAATAATGGGGTACCTTGAATGCTCGAGCCGTACCGCCCCTATACCGACAACCCCGACAGCCCCGACAGCCCCGACAGCCCCGACAGCCACAGCCGTACAGAGTAGGCCGGAGAGCAGCCAAGAAGTCGCTACGGCATAAAGTTTAGCCAAGAAGTAACAGTTATTATTCGGCCGACAATCGTACCCATTATTAGTCCGCATCTGTGCTAGACACAGCGTTTTCTACTAGTCTGCTAGTACAAGTAGAGAACAATCACATGGCAATCGCCGGGGTGAACACACAGACGGATTATCCTCCAACGCCAGTGCCAACCACGAGTCGAGATTGTCACCCAATCCCAAAGACCGGAAAGTATCCAAGCGTTTTACTGGTTCATCCGCCAAGCACACACGGCTGGGAGATTGGCAATGGCTGACGTTGCCCTCCGTGGTTGAGACAAGGATCGCTGGTGTGCTGATCGGACGGTTAATTGAGGTTATTCTGTGATGTCTTGGGAGTACAGTAGCGAGTTCTTGCTGACCGAAACCGAACAGGAACAGGTCAGCAAGCAGTCAGCAAGCAGTCAGCAAGGACCGTAATGAGTCAATTCGGGGGAAATTTCATGTCCGAGTGGAGAGTACCCAGTATGCTATGGAGAATTCGGAAGGATTCAACTGGTCTATGGGTACTACATACAAGTATGGGTATGAATAATTGCCAGAATAATCTCTGCGATATTATCCCTGACATTCCCCGAGACTGGCACTGCCAGAGAATTAGGTTTCCTGTGATCTGCACCAAAATAACACGCATCAAAAGAAAGAAAGCTACAGTCGGAGCCGGTCCAACCAAACCCAAGCGCACACACAGTAGTGGCCGGCCGCACGCCGAAAGTGATGGCACTACCACTGCACGCCGAAAAGACGCACTAAAACACGGCCAGAGATTTCGGTCCGGCCAGTCACAGCAATCAACCACATTAAGGTTCCGTCTGGGAAAGAAAGGTTTCTGGAAGCGTCCACAGTTAATTAGAACTAGCCCGGAGTTAAAGGTTAGCTAGCCATGTTTTGTACCGGAAATCAGCCAACGCCATGGCCAAGGGCTATTAGTTAACGCTAAACCTATGTAAGTGCGTGGAACTACCGGAGGACAGGCATCCCCATCCCACGAGATTGCAGCATCCAGTGGCGAGGCGATGGAGTCGGCCAACAGAGTTTGGGTAAGTGGTAACGATGCGTGATTTTGTGCCTCTGTCCTGAGTGGTGTCTCGATGGAGTACGAACTGCTCTCTGACTCTAATCTACTGGCTACGCTACTCCTCCGTACCTTGTCTCTATCAATCCTTCCAGCAAACCGAGGCACGGAGAGGCTCCGGCAGAGCACAAAACGCCGTCATGATCAACCACTAGGGTCGATCAGTGGACGGACCGATGCCTGAGTTTTTGTGGCGAGAGTATGTGCTACTACTACTCCGGAGTATGTAGAGGTGTGCTATGTAAATAGTAGTGGTAGTAGTATTGTAGTAGTATTGTAGTAGTATTGTAATGGTATTGTAGTAGTATTGACAATGGAGTAGATGCTCATGTCTGTATAAGACCACAAGATACTCTACCGTACCCCGGGTAGTGAAGTAACCAAACTCTAGTTACAAACCCCTAAACGGGGCCCCTAAAAACCGGCGCTTCTCCCGCCCCTAGAATCAAGCCCCACTGGCCAAGGTCGATTATTTCATTTTGTTCTCGTTCTTGGGATTTTCTCCCACAACTTTGACCAGTTTTACAACTTAGTACAGAGTACTACTATGTAGTATCTCCATTAACATTGCTGATCTTCCTGCTTATATCCTTTGTGTCTTTTTATATCTTTTTTATATCTTCCCTTTACTCCGGCCCACCCACCACACACGCGACAGTTTATGGCCTCTCCGGCTGCTTCCTTCTCTCATCGCTAATCCTCGCATCTCTATGTCTCTCCCCCCTCGTTCCTCCTCAATCCTTCTCCACGTTTTATTCTTCGACTGTTCCTGCCCATGGAGATTCACACGACCGTATTTGCTCCGGTGATGGCTCCCCCGTCGCCCTCCTCGTCCTCTTCCTCCTCCTCTTCCGCCGCCGCCGCATCTTCTTCCGCAGCTCCCGCAGTTGCTCCTCCTTCTGCCTCCGCGACGACGACGCCCTCTACAGCTCTTGCACCAGCCTCGACACCTTCAGGCCAAGAACCGAAGAAGCGAGTTCGCCGATGGCACCATCGGGGATTCACCGGGTGTTCCACCTGTCGTCGACGTCATGTCCGCTGCGATGAAGCTTCGCCGTCGTGCCGGAATTGTACTCGCTTAGGACTCGAATGCGATGGCACTCAGGGCCGGATGACCTTCAAGGTCTATGGGCCATCACAGGCCTCGCAGGATACTACGTCTAAGCCAGCACCGAAGAAGCGCGGCAAAAAGGCCGCCGGTGCGAATGAGTCTGTCGCCACCGGCAAACAGGCCATCATTAAGAAAGAAGACGATGAGGAGGATAAAGGCGGCGTGGATGCGGTCGTGGTATCGCCAACTACCGTTTCTCAACCCGCCTCTACTCGATACCAATTCCAAGATCCTTTCCGGCTGGTGACGATGAACAATCCTTTAGACACCAAGGATGTCCGGTATTACTCGCACTTCATCGACCAGGTCGCATCGTTACTCCTAATCTACGATAATAATATCAATGTCAACCCGTACCGGCGGTATTTCCCAGAAATGGCGCGCGACTCGCCATCCATGGCCAGTGCGATGCAGGCTCTTGGGGCGTTACATTTGGCCAATACGTCGCAGGGTCAGCAGCGGATTGAACATTTCCAGCAGGCCATGGGACAGTATGGGGAGGTTGTCAAGTCGTTCCGGACGAGATACACCGAGCCTGATACTCGATTAGGATTGAATGATTTTGCGACTTGTTTATTATTATCTTTGTTCGAGGTGGGTTTTTTCCTCCTTCATTTGTGGCATATCTCACAGTACTAATTGAGCAGATGATGGACTCGCAACACGATAATTGGACCATTCACCTGAAAGGCGCCCGTGAAATTTACAAAATCCTCTTTTTCCAAAAGTCAACCGATCCCACCCAAGAAGCCCAGCGACTCACCGAAATGAACCACCCCCTCCGACACTTCCTCATCTCCCTCCTCTCCTATCTTGACGTGGCCGGCGCCTGTGCGACCAGCGACGGCACCGTCGTCGAAGGAAGCTACTGGCGGCAATACGCAGGTGGCTGGGAATACAACTTGGGCATTCCCAGTCTATCGTCGAGCACACTGCCGAGTGAGCAGATACTAGTCGAGTTACGGAACTGCTGGTCGGTAATGATGGAGATCCAAGCATCGATCAGTTCGTTCGGACGAGCCAAACACGAAAACCAACTCGCACCGGCGCAGCAAGACATGATCTACGGCAACCTGCTCAACCGCCTCCTGAACTGGCGGGCAACAGCGCCTGAATGCATGCAGATGCTGGGCGGACTCGACGACGCTAGTCTAGAGCACTATCCCTATTTAGAAATTCTCGAGTACGCGGGATGCATCGAAGCGTACGAAAAAGCGACCGTGATCTACCTACACAAAGTGGCAGCAGCGAACCGCCCCGAGCGGCAAACCGAAGGCCCATTACTACAGATGCTGGCCTCGCGGATCCTACAATTAATCGAAAAATGCGCTAACGGCGTGGGACGGCTAGCTGCTCTATGGCCTCTATTCACGGCGGGTCGCGAAACGCACGATGTGACGGAGCAAGCGTATGTGCAGCAGACGATGCAGGAGCTACAGCGCTACGGGTTCAAAGTGAGTCCCCCCCCCTATTATGATTAAGTTAGGCAGACACTAACAGAAAATAGAACGTCGAAAAAGGGCTGGAAGAACTGGAGCGGGTGTGGTTCAAGCGACGGATGTTCCCCGAGGGTTGGATCGAGACGATGGACGATATCCGCACGTCGGTTTTAATCCCTTAAGTCTCCCTTCTTCTTTTCTTTTCTCTTCTCTTCATATTTTTCTTTCATTCTATAGAGTATTTATTTATTGTAAATAGGCGTTGGGTGGGAGGGCTGGACCCTTACGAGCAACGACTGTATAGCGTGATAGACAACAACAATGTCCTTCTACAAGTACTCCGTACATCCAAGTGCCTAGTATTACTCTACTATCTAAGGGGAAAGAGGTTTAATTATACGCCAATCCTAATAAAATAACATCCGCACTGACAGCGGACCAGAAAGCTCCGTTTTCGTATGTTGTATACATAATTTTAAGTGAAAAAAAAAAAAAAGTGGTGAATTTTTCCGGTGAGTGGAGTTGGTTGGAGCGTTCCATCCGGATTGCCTTGTCTTGGCCATATATTATCAGATCCCCATCACTGCATCTACAAGTATATTATTCTGTACAAGTGTATATCGTTGTATATCACTGTATAATATAATAAGATATAGAGATGGCTGCACCATCATCTCTCGTCTACGACGACAATATCCCGGCGCAGAGCCAGGATGCTCTCCCCTCCGATGGCGAGGGCGACCGCGCTCAGAACGAGGCTGTCGATGATGCGGCTTTATTGGTATTTCGCATTTCCCCAAGTGAAGCAGGATGTATGGATATGCTAACGGGTATAGAAAACGATGGGTTATAAACCTGTATGCTTGACATTTACACATTCCGATGTCTACCGGGAATGTGTGCTAATGAGGTGTAGGTCCTGCATCGGACATACACGCTTTTTGAGAATTTTGCGACGACGTTTGGTTTGTCTTCTCTATACCTCCTCTACAGAAAAGAAGAATACTAATACGTATAGCTGCGCTGTACTTTGTCGGTGGCGTCCGAGTAACATTCAGCACTGGTATCGCTGCCGGTGGGAACCTAGCCTACTGGTATACCCCCCCAATTCCCCATCTATACCAATCAATATCAATACTAACAAAGAATCAGGACAAGTTACCTCGTAACAATGGTATTCACATACATCACGGCCGCAGTTATTGCAGAAGTATGCTCTGCTTCGCCGTCCGCTGGCTCGATCTATCTCTGGGCTGCGGAGGCTGGAGGACCACGGTTTGGGCGGTTGTTGGGGTTTATTGTTGCTTGGTGGAGTACGACTGCTTGGACGACGTTTTGTGCTAGTATGTGGTCCTTGTTTTTGGGTTTGATTGATGTTGGGTACTGACTGGAGTAGGTAATACGCAGAGTGCGGCGAACTATCTGTTATCGGTAAGTATGCGTTGATGGATTGTGGTGAGTGATGCTAATTGAGTAGGAAATGACGGTATTCAACGTCGACTTTCCCACCGAGACGACGGACGTCAAGTTCCGGACTCTACAGTGGATCGTCACAGAAGTCCTCCTCGCCTTCGCTGCCCTGCTAAACTTCATGCCTCGTATGCCAACCCTCTCCATATAACGATATGTACAGCAACAGGATGCTAACATACTCAGCCCGCGTCTTCCGCTGGGTCTTCTACTTCTCCTCCTTCGTCGTCCTCCTCGACTTTTTCCTAAACCTAATCTGGCTCCCCATCGGCACAGCCAACACCTGGGGCTTCCGCACCGCCGAAGAAGCCTTCATGACAACCTACAACGGCACCGGCGCCCCTGCGGGCTGGAACTGGTGTTTGTCATATTTGGCTACGGCGGGTGTGCTGATTGGGTTTGATGCGTCGGGGCATGTCGCTGAGGAGACCAAAAATGCGAGTATTTCGGCGGCGAGGGGGATCTTTTGGAGTACGGTTGTTAGTGGGGTCGGGGGGTTGGCTACGGTTATTCTTTTCCTTTTTTGTGCGGTGAGTTGCTTTCCTATCCTGGTATTTTGATGGCGATGAAAAAAGGTGATGGTGTGCTAATGGTGTAGCCTGATCCCACGACGCTGTTCTCGTTTGGTTCGCCTCAGCCGTTTGTTCCACTTTATGCTGTGGTTCTTGGCCGGGGAGGACATATCTTTATGAACGTCATCTGCATCCTCGCCCTATGGCTAGTACGTCCTCTCCCTTCCCAGTCTTCACTCCAGACCCTAACCAAAGAAAAGAACACGGCAGTAGCAATAACAGCCGCCTCCCGCCTTGTCTTTGCCGTAGCCCGCGACGGCGTCCTCCCCTTCAGCTCATGGGTCTCCCGCGTGCACTCGGGCCAACCCCGCAATGCCGTAATCGTCGTCTGGGTCGTCGCCGCAATCATCACCTGCACGCTCCTCGCGTCCAACGTCGCTTTCACATCGCTCGTCTCGGCGGCTGGTGTACCTAGCGCTGCTGCTTATGGACTCATTTGTCTTGGTAGATTGGTTTGTACTCCTAAGAGGTTTCCGAAGCCGCAGTGGAGTTTGGGGAGGTGGAGTAAGATTTTCCAGTTTATTGGTGTTTTTTGGAATGGGTGGGTTGTTGCGGTGTTGTTTTCGCCGTATGAGTTTCCGGTGTCTGGAGAGAATTTGAATTGTAAGTCTGCCCCTGTGTTTGGATTGCGTATATATGAGGTGAGAGTTTGTGCTGACTGGTTTATGAAGATGCACCGATTATCATGGCCGCGGTTACTATCCTCGCACTAGTTTCATACTTTATCATGCCCGAGGAATCGTGGTTGCCAAGGAACCGCATCTCGCATTTCATCGATAGCAAGGGTGTCGCTGGTGTGCAGGAGACGGTTGAGGAGATTCATACTGGTCGAGACCAGGGTGAGGGTCAAGCAGAGAGTGAGGGCGAGGGAGAGGGACGTGAACAGACGCAGGCGGGACCGTCTGGGTCGAAATGATGTTGATGATGGTGCATGCATATGTGATATGTAAAACTTCTTTCTTGTTTGTTGGATATTAAAAGTGATATTTGGATAGTTAGATTAGATGATGTATGTATGTATATTTCATTCATGCATCTGTCAGCCATATGGGCCGATTGGCGGCAGGTCACTGTAGGTGGCTAAGCATGGCCACAAATTTTATATGTATATACAGGATATAGAGCCCGTGAACTTCTGACCCGATTCGGCAGACTGTCTCGTTTTTAATATACAGATACAAAAGCCATTTCCTTACACCACATATGGGGCTCGTCCCTCATTGCAGATACACCTTTCAAACACAGGCCAAGAGATAATAAGTATACTGCAATATCCTTGGGCCATGTCAGTACATGACTTTGTCTGTATTCCCCTCCCATCCAGGCTCAGGCCCCCCTACTAGAGGTGTAGGGTACGACGAGCATCCGTGGTAAATGATGGCCGGTGTAGGATTCGAACCTCGGTCACTCCATTGAACTCTTAAATTTTAGTAAGGGAGCCCCTCAGACCCTACTGTCCAATGAGAGCTACTGTAGTGACCACCCAGATGGCACTCTACCACTTGCGCCATCCCGGCCATAGATTAGATGATAGTAATGGTTGGTGGGAGGTGTATATAAGAGTTGGTGTTTCTAGGGTTATGATGCCGCATACTCTGTGTAACGATAGATTGAGATGCTTGATGTGACGGCACTATTTCTATTATCTGCTGCCACTTCTCTGATCAATTTATTTCTTGTACATTGTATAGCCTAGGCGTCAACGTACGTGCGGTCTTGCTGCCTTTCTCGGCTTGTCAGCTATGGTCAGTGCATTCCATGATGCGTACCGATGGTGCGTTGCAGAGAGTAAAACAGTGAATGGCATAAGGAATAACATCAGGTCTATCTATCTCATCATTTACTGGGTATTTAATCTGGACAAAAAGCTGTCTGCTCACCTTGGATGGTGTCATCCTCCCCTACACCCGCTCCTCAAGTCCAAGGATCTCTCTCCCCATAATCGCCATGATCATACCCTATCTACTAGTTCTATTCGTTGATCCCAAACCAATAGCCACCACCGCCATTCAAAGCCGAAACGTGCACATCTACAACATTACAATAAAGAAACCAACTAAATCCAGTGGTCGTGGAGAGATCCGCACCGCATCCGTGAAGATCTCGGAGGGAGAACACCCCATTTCTTTACTGTCAGCTAATGAGAGGCAGAAGATAAGCCGGGTGTCATTATAGAGAAGCGGGAGCCCCAGGGATGAGATGGAGAGATCACGGAAGACTGGAGGGTGGGTAGGTCCCGTTTCTGCACTATTTGGGCATGACTACATGACATACGAACGGGTGATGTTCTGTTATCTGCTCGCAACAGAGAGCTATAGGCTCCTGAGTCCTACGTCATTTTCCAAAAGCAAGTATGCAAATCGAAATGGTTTGTTCTAAGACAACGGACGAAGTTAACCGGAAGAAAAAAACATGTTCTAGTAGTCGTGATAACGGCAATCGAACAAGTCAACCGATGAGGACTGGGTGATAAATAAGCCAATAGATTCGAGGTCGCCTGCGCTCCTAATTATCGGGAGTGTTAGTTTGACACCCTAGCATCCACAGCCAACAGATGTGACGATACTAATCCCATTGCGGGAACAGACGAAGTCGCCATACGTCTACATTGTTTTGCAACCAACTGGGCTTGTTTCCGGGTGACATAAGCAGAATCTGCCACAACGATCACAGTTATCTGAGGAACACATGGTTCCACGTGTACTTCAATGGCTCGGGGGTGACAGCCCACTGATATCGGATTTTTGCGACGTGATTGGGATAATCAGGGATGGAATTAGTTGCTATAGGGTCGGCAAAAGCATGAATAATAAATTCCGCCAACGGTGCTGGAAAGACGAGTCTTCCCGTAATTAGCAGCCAGCCAGGGAGAAACTTATCGGAATTCTCAACACTTTTAGTCATGGCCAGGTCTGGAATGATCTGGGTCGGTAGCATTTGTGTTACATCGTCACGTCACGATAATCCAGCCAATATCTTTTAATGGCGAACGGCCCTATCGAAGTTGCCTCAAATGATCAACCCGTTCAATGGACAGTATAAGCCGATACACTGGATAGTGCCCTGTGCTACGACGCGACCACAGAGCCTGTTCATGAGAGTTTGCACCAGCCGCATTCTGGTTTCTATATTGGACGAGGCCAACCTTCTGGCTTAAGCTCAGGCGATAGAGTTCCGGTCTGAATTTGAATGGAATATCAACACCAAGAGATCCGATGAATGTACCCTTTGTGGACACCCACGTACGAGCAAACTGAAGCAATCGTTGTGTTGGTAGAAGCAAAACCACTGAGAAAGGCAAGCTGGGCTGAAGTACAGTTCCTCGCATATATGATGCGTATTGAGTTAAATGTGTGGTTCCGATTAAGGCCCAAAATTAAGAACTTGACCGATGACAAAACGTACGAATAAGCCCGGCTCAAGTTGCTAGATCCTGATTTGTCTACAACCGACTCTGTTTCTTCGATACGTTGAGAGAGAACCTAGGGCTTGTCAGCTGTGCTTCAAGTACCCGAAGCGTCACCAAAGCTGGCACAGGCTGATTTAGCAGCTGGATTGACGGGATCTTACGGTTCCCGGAGGCTCAATAACTTTACAAGAGTGTCTATTAATTTGATCCAGCATAAACGCCATGCCGACCAGCTTACGAAGTCGGTATTATTAAGTGCACAGATATGCAACATGTATCCGATCCGGGTAGCGTTCAACTATACGACGCGAGTCCTTAACCAGCATGTCACAAAAAAGAAAGAATTACCAGACCGAAGATAAGAAAGGCTTGGCCTGGATGACCCTTGAGGGTCTAATCCTTCACGAGGCACCGTTCTTAACTTATCAGCGTACCAAATGAGCTACGGAAAAGGAACAAGGTGATAGCAAGTGACAATGCTCCTCTTTTGAGTCCATCAAAATATCCACAAAGTCAATCAATTTTTGTGCCTCTTGGTATTATTCTGAGTTCTTCAGTGTTCTTCAGCGTCTCGCAGCAGTCGCCACTGGAATGCCTGAAGAAAAGGCAGAGGCTAATGTTACCTCGCACATCTACGAGCGTCTGTTCTTGTGGCATGCATACCAAATTTTACAGTGAGAAAGCCCTCAGAATTGTTCCAGAAACTGTTAGCCCGGGAGCACTCAACATTGATAGCATAGATCACGGCAACACCTGTTCTTACGAAACGGGCCCGGTTACGCCTATATCGTGCTGTTGGGTATGTATAAATCCTGAACTAGGAATAAGCGGTACGAAATTGTCGAAAAACAATTGGAACGAGTCTGTATTTAATACCTTGATACGACTAAGCCGAAAAAATAACCCAGCTCTGTTCTTCCGAGTCAAAATGTCAGCAAAGGGCTACTTGATAAGTCCTCGAGACAAAAGCCGGTGTGTCGCTGCAATCCCACTCAGAGGGTTTGGCGCTGCCACTAAGAATCTGAATTATCTCACCAAAGCACATCGTCTTGGTTGATTTTGATGCAAACGGCAAGAGGGAATAAGAGTCCGGGACGTGATAATCGCAATATGATGATGGAATGCCTATGGGTAAGTATACATTTTACCCTCATTTTATGTCAGTCCTGGACTCACTCCTGGAATTTATGTCACCATACAGAGCCCAGAAGATCACACTATCCTCCACTCATGCGACATCCAGGACTGGAATTCAGTTAGATGCTATCGGATTGGGAAGCATAAGGATTGGTCGACAAATCCTGCAACAGTGCTAGTAACCGTGGATACCTCTTCGTGCCAATGGCTAGGAAAAACGAAGAATCACTTATGAACACACAGTTACCGAATACCAGAATCAGCCTTTCTCCATGCCCGGTGGCACGGGAGCCTTCGTTTCTACCATGAGCCTTCGCATGATGGGTATATATAAAGGCAAAAACGGGGGCTGGGATGGTCAAGGTTATGGGTACGTAGAAGCCAGAGAAGACTGCCATAATAGTTTCTGGGTCTATGCACCAGTCCCAGATGATTGAGATGCGGGAGGCTTGCTTCGTTATGATTGCTATGCATTCCAATTTGGTCAAATCAGAGGCTCTACTGTAATTCTTTTGACTCTTACTTTTTCTCCCTATCCTTTAAATTGAATACCAGGTAGCTACTTAGCCGTGAACTTACCCTTTCTGGAAATGGTTCGTGTCAGCTGTCAGATATACCCCGCATCGGCTGTCGGTTATGGTGCAGAAGTTCGGAGAGAGCATCGAACAATACAAAGACGAACAAAGGCATTGTACTTGTACGTTAGTCGACTCAATCTAATACAATTCTATGAAAAACTGCCGTACGAACCAATTAGCGAGATTTGATAGCATTTCCGGCGTAGTATCCCCGCGTCAGTAGCACCGCGAAGGATCCCCCCTAAAGGATTCCTCCCCTCTTTTGATCGGCCAGTAGTGAAGGAGACTGCATGGTATTTATCTACCGGTCGTACGGGGGGTATCGATCTGGTCTGACATCTGTTCTCCCCTCTTTCCTACAACCACTCTGTATCTATTTCATCTATAACAGAAAATGGTTATCGTTCAAGGCAACAGACTTCAAGGCAAAGTCGCCATCGTCACTGGTACATCTTCACTGCTATCTATAGCATTTATACAGGACTAACACGGAGTAGGAGGAGGCTCCGGATTCGGTGCAGCCATCGCCCGCCGCTTCGGCGAAGAAGGCGCCAAAGTCGTCATCACCGATATCAACGCCGAAGGAGGCCAGAATGTCGCGTCGCAGAATCCCTCGAGCCTCGTTTTCCAAAAGCAAGACGTGACAAATGCAGAGGACTGGAAGAGTGTGGTTGATTTGGCGTTTGCGAAGTTTGGACGGTTGGATGTGTTGGTTAATAATGCTGGGACGACGTATCGGAATAAGGTTAGTATCCTACCAGAACATACCCAATTGTTGGAAAAACCTGCTAAATGGAACAGCCCACGCTGGAAGTCACCGAGGAAGAGTGGGAGCGCGTCTTCAAGGTCAACGTCAAGGGGATCTTCCACGGCAGCCAGGCCTTCGTGCACCGTGTTATCGAACAAGGACAGGGCGGTTCCATGATCAACATTTCGTCCACAGGTGCATCGCGACCACGACCGGGTCTCGTCTGGTACAATGCGTCCAAGGGTGCTGTGTCGAATGTATGTCCCCCATCCCATAACATGCGAAACGACTCCGCTAACTAACCATCACAGGCCACCAAAGGTCTCGCAGCCGAATACGGCCCACATAATATTCGTGTCAATACCGTAGCTCCTCTGCTCAGCGGAACGGGTCTTTTCTCTATGTTCACTGGTCTTGAGGATACCCCTGAGAACCGGGAGAAATTCCTCGGGAATGTGCCGTTGGGACGATTGACGGAGGTGGAAGATGTGGCTAATATGTGTTTGTATCTTGCGAGTGACGAGGGGAGATTTATTAACGGGATTGAGCTGGTTGTTGATGGTGGGAAGTGTATTTAACGTGCTGATGATTTGATGCTGAAAGCGGAGTACCGCAGTCCTGCCATAGTTGCCTGAACTTGTGTTCTGGCTGCGGCCTAACTAACTAATAAACACTAAAAATGTAGTTAGTTAAGCATAAGAATGATATCTGCCTGTGAGTCACGGGTCCGACGAGGCTGAATCCCGTGATTTGCCCTCTCTTCTTTTTAATTGCCGCCTTTCTCCCTCTTTCCTTTCTTCCTAACTTAGCTTCATCATGGTTTTCGGAAATATCACGGACCTGTACCCTTATGTTGCATGCGGATGTCGCTACATGGACCATAGCCATGGCGGTGGTTCCTGGCGATATTTCGCCCAGGTCTCTCTGCAGGCCCATGCGACTATCCTGTCCTCGATCTCCCGAACGGTCCTGACCCAGACCTTCACCAATCCCTCGGTCACGCCCGTTAAAGAAGTCTCGTACACCTTTCCTTTGTACGATGGCGTGAGCGTCGTGGGATTCACCTGCCGGGTTGGCGACCGGGTTCTTCACAGTCAAGTAAAAACAAAGGAACAAGCCAATGAAGACTATACCCAGGCCATAGAACAGGGTCGAGCGTCAAGTATTCTTGACCACTCGGACAGCACCAGAGACGTCCTTGCCATCCGGCTGGGGAATGTCAACGCAGGTGAGCAGGTGGTTGTCGAGATAACTTTTGTTGGCGATCTCAAGCAGGATGCTCAGGCAGACGGTGTTCGCTATACTCTTCCAAATGTGATCGCCCCGCGGTATGGTGAAAGATCCGCTCCTTCATCGCTCTTCACACGACAAGCTCAGAACCAAGGCATCTCCATCACGGTGGATGTCCTCATGGAAAAGCCTTCGGTGATCCGGGAAATTCAGTCGCCCAGCCATCCGATCAGAGTGTCGCTTGGTCGTACGTCCACTGAGAGAACTTCAGTCTTTGAGGCCAATCAGGCATCTTGCAGTCTACATCTAGCTGGGAATGCCCCGTTGGAACGAGACTTTGTTGTCGTCGTCAATGCTGACAGCCAAGATCTCCCCCATGCCCTGTTGGAAGAACATCCCACCATTTCTGGCCAGAAAGCTTTGATGATGACCATGGTCCCCAAGTTCAGCCTTCCCCCTATTCACCCTGAAATCGTGTTTGTCATTGACCGGAGCGGGAGCATGAGTGGCAAAATCCCGTCGCTCAAGTCCGCGCTGATGGTCTTCCTCAAGTCGCTTCCTGTTGGCGTTTGCTTCAACATTTGCTCCTTCGGCACGCATTACAGCTTCCTGTGGCATAGTAGTGTCCCATACGATAGCGCGAGCTTGCAATATGCCATGCAGTTTGTCGAGAGTATCAGTTCGAACATGGGCGGCACTGAAATGCAAGGCGCCGTCGAAGCGACAGTTGCAAACCGCTTGGAAGGCAAACTGCTTGAAGTTATGATCCTCACTGATGGTCAGATCTCGGACCAGGACTCCCTGTTCTCGTTTGTCCGGCAGACGTCTGCAGACAACCGCGCCCGCTTCTTCTCGCTGGGAATCGGCAATGCAGCATCTCATTCTCTCATCGAAGGTGTTGCTAGAGCAGGCAATGGGTTCAGTCAGTCGGTGTTCGAATACGAAGAGTTGTCCAAGAAGGTCGTTCGCATGTTGAAGGGTGCCCTTTCACCTCATATTCACAACTACAACCTCGAGGTTGAATTTGACGAGACCGACATCCTCGACAGCACCGCAACGACCGAAACCACAGACGGGTTCGAGATTGTCGAAGATGCCTCGGAATCTGACTCTGCAACCAAGCGAGGAACCGTGGCGACCCCCAGCGAATCTCCTGAACATGAACCGCAAAAGCCCATCTCCTTGTTCGACACCGACTACAAGGAACCCGACATCAAATCCGCCAAGATCGATCTTCCAAAACTGACGGCACCTGATCTTCTTCAAGCACCATGGAAGATTCCGGCCCTATACCCTCTTATCCGTTCGACGATCTGCATTCTCCTGGACCCCCGACTTTCCAATCGCAGCCCGAAAGCCCTTACTCTTCGAGCCACCTCCGAGCACGGCCCACTCGAACTCAAGATCCCCATCCAAAACATCGGAAAAGGCGAAACCATTCACCAGATCGCATCTCGGAAGGCAGTAGTTGAGCTGGAAGAAGGCCATGGTTGGATTGAGGACGCCAAAGACAGCAATGGGCACCTTACCAAGGACCTCTCCCCCGAAACACAACGCCAACTCGCCATTCAAGAGTGCCAGAACCTGGGCATCAAATACCAGGTCACCGGACAGCATTGCTCCTTTGTCGCGCTGGACGAGAACGGCGATGAACAGCCAGAGCAGCCAGAGCAGCTCGATTCCAGATTCAAGGAAGAGGAATATGCTGCTGCGTCGGCGGGCTCAAGTGGAAAATCCAAGAAAGCACGCGGGCGTCGCGGAGGTATCGCACGTAGACAGCAGGCGGCTCCTAATCCTTTTGCTGGGCCTGCACCACCTCCAGCCCGCTCTGTATCAGGCGGTTCTCTTTTTGGCACGACTTCAGCGTTCGGAAGACCCACCGCTGCCACTGCTGCTGCTGCTGCTGCTGCTCCATCATACGGTAGTAGTCTCTTCAACAATGCTCCGGCGTCATCTTCATCTTCGTTGTTTGGGGTCGCTGCTCCTTCGTCAAGCAGTAGCCTGTTTGGAAATGCTTCAGCTCCAGCTTCATCTTCGCTGTTTGGAGGTGCATCAACCGCTGCTCCTACAACGGCTAGTCGCTTTGCCAACCACACTGTGAATTCATCGTCTTTTTTCTCGCAGCCATCTAGTCTATTCGGAACCAATGCCACAGCTGCGCCGTCAGTAGGTGGCGCATCCTCCTTGTTCCCACGGCCATCTGGTGGTCTATTCAACAACAACAACAACAACAACAACAACAACAACAACAACAACAACGTTTCAACCGCGCCGCCAGTCCCTGCATCAAGCGGCACTGGTCTCTTTGGCGCTCCACCAGCGTCTTCTTCGTCTTCACTGTTTCAACATGCACCAGCCGCTTCTCCTACAACAAGCGGTGGTCTTTTTGCAAGTACGCCCGCATCTTCACCGCTGTTCTCGCCGCCAGCCCCCGCTGCATCAAATGAAACTGGGCTGTTTGGTGTCCCTACCCCGTCTCCCTCGTCACTGTTCGGAGCGCCATCGCCCGCTACTACATCTGGTGGTAGTCTCTTCGGTGCCACCCAACCCGCCTATCCCCCGCCAGCAGCCCAAACCTCCACCCTCGACGGAATTATCAAACTACAAACCTTCGACGGCTCCTGGGACTGGACCAAAGAACTCACCAACTTCCTCGGCATCGACGAAAACAATTTCCGCGAAAAGCTCAGTGCGCGTGTCAAACAAGATAACCATGATTTCGACTTTCTGTGGGGTCTGTCGCTCCCCAGTGTTGTTGCTACGATGCTCGTGATGAAGTATTTGGAGCAGAAGGCTACTCATGATAAGGCTGTTTGGGAACTTGTGTATGAAAAAGCGGAGGGATGGATCCAGAAACAGTCGTTGTGGAGGATTCCAAAGGTTTTTGAGGCGTGCACGGAAATTGTTGAGGCTTTTGTTTGATCTGAGTTACTGAGTAATGGTATAGTGTTACTTGGCTCCGTGGTTGTGGTGGCTTAGTTTAGTTTAGTTTAGTGTGATAAAAGGAATTGAATGGGATTGATTAGCTAAAAAAAAATACATCCTTGGTCTGCCCAAAAGACCAGTTGATAAACTATAGTACAAACGAGCTGTATACAAATGAATGCTCCAACCTAGAGTAAAGCCATCGACAAAACAGCAAGCCACGCTGAACAGAAAATTGCGCTCCGAGGTGTGCCAACAACACACATAACGTATGTTGGCACAATTCCCCTGAATGTAGTTCAAATAACAAACAGGATGTGTCTTGGTTAAATCAGCCTCATTTTTATCCAGTAGAATTACAAGAGGTCTTTCTGACCATTACCGCTTTGAAGGGTAGGTAAGGAGGACACCAATGAACGTACCGAAAGCACGAGATTCAAGTGTTTGAGCACAGTACGCGCTTTTTGATGATATCTGATATGATATGCTGCACTGTTTCTGCATATGTGAGGCTTTCTGTTTCTTCTCATGTATTCGATATAATCTCGAGACCCGTGCTCATTGGAGAGATTTCCATTCGGTGTCCAGATCTCTCGTTGCTTTTTTGCATTAACGTAAGTAAAGCAACCACTGGACTGTCCAGAAACCACTATAGCGCGTCTGTGCGCAAGCGTGGTAAAAAATCCTGAGATTCCAGTTTCGATCATTAGAACTTGGTAAATGGCACGGCTGACCGTACTGTGGGCGTCTGGGCGGTGGGTAGAAACATTCGTCTGGCTTGAATTGCTTGACGTGCTCATTGGATGGTTCCACTCAGTAATCAGATTTCTTGTTGCTTTTTATATCGATACAAGTAAAGCAATCAGCTCTGCCACCGGGCTACTGGAGAATCACCAAGTTGCGTCTGTGCGCAATCGTGGTAGAAACTCGGATATGCCGGGGAGGAAAAAACGAGACAGTAAGCTGTTATTGCGTTGAGGAAGTCCAGCAAGCATGAGTTCAAGGCTTGCTGGACTTGGTTTCCGGGTCTGATCGTTGGTACAGATTGTACCATTTTTGTTCTCGTCTGGAGGTTGTAAAAACGGTTTGTCTCTGCATCTTTGAGCTTTCCATTTTGCGGACTAAGTTGCATAGTAATGTGAGTAGTCGCTTCGGTAGCTAAGCGCGGTTGGTGGTACCAGCTTTGTCTGAGGCTAGTTTTTGCTTTCAGAAGGAAATTTGCGCTGCGTGTCTTTGTATCGCCAGACCGAGGCCAACTTTCCATCTGACTATTTTTGTCATGCTCTGTTCCATCTGAGTCAGAAGAGGGCGGGCTAGTTGGGCTGTCCTTTTCTTTCTGAGGGGTGGGAACAGGTAACTGTTCTAAGGGGGTGTCCTGGAAGATTGAATCTTCTGACACATTCCCAAGGTTGGGATCATTAGCCAGTTTTTGCAGTTGATCAGGGATGGAGGGTTGCAAAGACATAGGTGAAATGGTTTCAACACAGGGGTGGGGCTTCAGGAATCCAAGGGAACCCAGATGCTATCTAATTTCTGTTGGTAGGCGTGGTGGCGTACAGGCCAAAAACTGGCAAAGGCATTCGTCTGGTTCCTTTGGCTTGCTAGACCCGAGGGCTAGCTCCCATTTTCAATAAAATCATCCCCTATTTAGCCCGCACGCGAGTATAAAAACAATTGCCGATGTATTCCACATGAATTTTCGAACCACCAACAGGCATCTGCGCTTTCGTATGTGCAATTTGCACCATGTCTCAACAATAATCATCCGAGATATCTTGCATATTCCGATGACGAGAACAATGCGTGTTTCGCCGCTGGAATTCGTAAACCACCACTGTGCATCAGCGCGGAGTCGAGGGAGTGACTCAAACACGCCAGTTCCAATAACCAACGTTGGTCAGCTGTTTACCTTTTCGTGTGGCCAGAAACACTAGTCGGGCTGCTTTCCCTTATCTGTAACAGTCTCTGTCATTGTGCTCATAGTCGTCGCGGCCCAATGATATTGCTCGACCACAGTAATTCCCATCGCACGTAGCTGTATGTCCATCAATCGAGTGAATGAATCAGTTGCGCAAGCATGTATAGGTGACTGGATAATTTTCATTAGCCCTGCGGACCCTTCGTACATGAGCCGGAATCCTATTCCTCCGAGGATGTTCTTGTCATCCAGGAGATGGAGATGGTGTATGTGACGGTCTCGAGCAATATGAGTATATTGGTAGATTATCTGACAAAATTCTAACATGAGGAGAGAAAAGGAAAGAGGCAGGCCTGCCGGCGACGAGCTATCTAATGTGTGCGAGGGGTTTAAGCGAGGCTCAGTGACTGTCCATGCTCAGTGAATGTCTATGCTCCGTGACAGTGTATAGCGTATTTAGTTAGCCCTTGTACCACGAGGTACTGGTTTCCGTTGTCTTCGCTTTTTTGAAGTTTATTGTGGACTTCTCTTGCTGCGGTCTCGAGTTTTTTGATGCTTTTCCAGGTGTGTATAGGATGAAGGCTGCATAGCAGGTTTGGGTTTGTGGTGTTCTCCATTTTTAGGAGTGTTTCTGTGTACGAGGTATACAGAGAGACGTTGTAGAGTTGTGGCTGAAAAGCAAAGGCTGGGACTTGTAGGATATAAAATTCACTAGCAGTAAGATGGAATTTTTTTTTAGGTTCTGTCATCATATGGACCCTTTGAATTAGGGCTCCCAGTAAAACATCCTCACCAATGATGTCACACAGTATTTTTAATGATTCACTAAAAAAGCACAATAATCAGTCTCTCCACTATGGCCACCAGGCCAACGAGTCATTCACGAACCCCAAACACCCAGACTCATCCTGAGACACAAAACACTCCCATACATAACCTACACATACGTACTACATGATTCGCACATCTAGATCTCCCGATAACCCAAATATAGAAACAACAGCGGATAAAAGATCTGATTTGATTTTGATCTGATACATAGTTCGTCATGGTATAGAATGGGACGGAATATGCGTGGAATGTATGGAGCCGGCGATTCCGTGCGGAGTGCATTGCGCTAATAGTGGAGTGGGTTTTGTGGGTCGGTGATGAGTGTCTTGACTCGGTATCTGGTTGTACTGTAGTCTATCGGGCTGAGTAGTCGTACGGTAGATGTTTGAAGGTTGACTATATCTTGCCACTTATGGGAGGGGAAGATGATGAGAGCGGGATGGGTATAGCTACTGACTACGAAGTGATTCATGTAGATTGAGTGTCGATACTACGGATGGAAGAGAAGAGCAGGTGTTGTAAAACTTTTCATTTCATGATTCGTCCGTCCATTGCCATCAAGGTGTGGCCGGTGCAAATGGTATCCCCAGTCTGGGGGGGGGGGTGTCAAATTATAGTACAAAGTAGAAAAGTAAAGCACTCGATCCAGATCGGGTATGTAAATCTGAATGCCTTAACCAAGCACAGAAAACATTAGGATATAATGAGGCCGTGAAAGGGCACAAAGCAATGATGCTTGTATACTGTTGTGCTCTGAGATGAAATCCGACCGGAATCAAAAATGTGCGTCTTTCACAGTAGACTTCCGTTTCCCACCTAGCCGGAGTCCCAAGAAGCTCTTCCCAGAAGGCTTCTCTGCGCTCTCTGTTTGCTGTTGCTTGGTCCGTCTGAAGGTCTTTGTCCGACCGAGCTTTCTCTTAAAGCTGTTATCGGTCGGCTCGGAAGCATCGAGACTGTTTTCACTTGTCCCATCTGATCTGAAGCTGTTGGTTGACCAGATACTCGGAGCTGCGGAGTGCTTGACAGTCTGGTTCCTTATGGGTAATGGGGTGTCGCATGCTGCATTGGACAAATTGTATGTCGACTCCGATCGGAGTCTGCTGAACGCGGAGTATGACGCATGGCTGGGGGTTCCGGAATATGGTCGAGACCGTGATGATGTCGCATCAGAGTTGTAAACACTGTGAGAATACGACATAGATCTAGAATGAGTGTCTTCGAAGCGAGGTGAGAATGGTCGTTGCCAGAATGGAGCAGAGAAGCTGCTCATGCTTCGTAGTGATGGCGGTCTCCGGAGCGATTTGCTAGGAAGTCGTACATGGTTGGCCACTTTGTCGGATATGGAGGTTCGAGGGCGTGGGGTTGATATAGACTGTGGTCGTGATGCTGGATGAGGCAGTGTCGGGACGGGTAGGCAATTGACTGCTGCGCTCGTATTCATCCGCTCTAATGATGCTCCTTGGTAAATCGGTTCCGAATGGTTGGGCTTTTGTGCGTGTTGCACATCTCCGCTGTGATCATAGAGCGCGTTGCGCTTGTTTGATGCTGTGCAATTTGATGCAGTTGGCTGGCGGGGCGAAGAAACCATGTCGGTCTTTTCTTTCTGAATGGATGAGCTTGTGCTGCTTGGGCACAGATTCCCGCTGCCTGCAGACGGTGTTTCATCGGTAGAATCGGATTGTGTCGAAGAAGGACTGATCATGATTAGGTTAGGTTTAGTTACTGGTTCCACATATTTGACCTGCTCGGCCACGAGCACATCTGTGTCATCATCAGAGAGACATGAGGCAGGAGAAGGTGATCGGAAAGAGAGACAGGTCGATGATCGTTGTGATTCTAGAGGGTTATAGACGGTAGGCTGCAGAAAAGCTGATGATGGAAGTTGTGAAGGGGTTTCGGGAGATGGTAGCTCAATGATCATATCGTCCTCAGCATCGTAGATATATGAGTCTGCCACAAAAGTAGCATCGCTAGCACGCTTGATGGTGGTCATCGACACAGGCCTCGAGTCTTTGTCGATGGGCTGGCATAGTGAAACGAGGCGAGGAAAGTTGTCTGGCTCGTCGACGTTGGACATCCCATCGGCACTCAGGTCCGAGTCGGAACGATGGAAGTCGACAGGCGAGAATGAATGGTCTTGACCCCCTACTTCGGACTCGGAAATGTCTTCCTCTTCGGACTCGTATCGCTGTAGAGGCTGTTGCTTGTTGATGCATTCGAGATCGAGAGACCCCACGGCCTGAAACATCTTGATTCTTCCCGTTCGCACGGTTGACGGCAAATGGTAAGACAGATGGTTGGTATTTCACGGCTATCCCAAATGGGCGTCGAGAGGGAAAAGGCAGCACAAGAAGTAAGAAAAACCGCAGGCGTGATTCGGAAGGATTCGTGTGCACGTCAAGATGAAACTAAAGTGAGGACCAAAATAAACACCGAGATAAGACAAGGTCAAAGAATAATCAAAGTGGAAGAGTAAAAGAAGTCGGGCTAAGACAACAATGAAATGTACCCGGCCGGAGACAGAGGGTATATATTGCCTTGTTCTTTCTGATGGACGCTGGTGCCACACGGGATGGAATGCTCTTAAATGGGTGGATCCGAGATGGGGCACTTTATGTCTCTGAGAAAGAAATCACCCTCGATGCCATCAGATCACAACGGACGGGCCAAATGATCCACAGGAACAGGGTCCGAAAAGCAAAAGCCAGGGAAAATACCGTGCTTTGACACGTGATAGGAAAGGGCGAGTCCTTTTAACACGGATGAAAGAGAATCCAGCACACACCCCGTATAGTATGTGCTTTTAAATGTATGTAGGAGCATTATTAGCGTGTCCTGCATACTTACGCCGTTTTTAATCCTTGCCTAAACCGGATTGTGGATTTTCCCTCCTGCAGGACTAAGAGTCTATGTGCGGGTGGGCCATCTTGCCTCAGAATTAGCAGGGCATATAGCACCCTTGCATATCGATAAAAAAAATTTAAAAAAAATAAAAACCCCCGTGTCATGCGCCGAAAATAGAGTAGAGGGCGTTTTCATTTTAGGCCCCATTTGCTGTGCCAAACGCCACGCGGGGCGAAAGGAGGGAGGGCATAAATGCAATGGATGATCATTCCGATTGACTGCATAGACACATCCCCTCGTAAAGATACTGCACACCGTTGGAGGGAAAATCGACGTATCAACGTGAGCTGTCGCGGAGGAGAGGTCAGTGCATTAGCGCATTTCGGCAACGTTCAGGAGACTCGATGGCTGGCGCGTCCCCTCAATACATGACGTTGGAAAGAGGTGGCGGCAGCATTTAGATTGCAAAACTTCTGCACCTTGAACTGTTCAATGTATAAGTTGGTAGCTAGTATGCCGATCTGAGATACGGAGGATGTATCGGAGTTAACACTCCGGAAAGGGGGTGGGAAAGAACACCCGTTGCCAAGAACAGGACCATGGGAAAAAAAACAAGATAAATGCTTGACTGGGTGTTTTGGTTAGATGTGGTCTGTCCGAGTGTGCTCCGAATTGCACTCGGATGGCACTCGGATGTCACTGATCAGAAAATGATGATATGCCGTGCGTATAGCAGATCGAGCAATGTCGGCCAAAGATCGAGCGGTGGCCACACCTTCCCTGTTTTCTCTCTTTTTTTTTTTTTTTTTTTTTTTTTTTCTACCTTGATCTCCCGATCTCCTTATTTCTCCTCTTCGGCTAGAGATGTTCCAGGTTCAGACAGATTGAACATTTATCGATCGGTATTATTGCCGGAGAATACTCGGGTTAAAAAAAGAAAGTGTCGCACAGGTCAGTTCGTGCGGCCGCTCCGATTGATCTCCAGGGTATAATCATACCACATACCCGTGATACCTGCGATCGAGAAGAACTGATAGCACTTCTCAGCTGTCCTTGTTCCCATGATGGTTCTATTCTGACTCGTGAGAACCTTGGTAACAGCAGGCCATCATTACACCAACCTGGTGGAGCGTGTATAACTCAAACACACCATCCGCCAAACAGATATGGTAATATATTTACCCGTGCTTCTTGGATGAAACAGGACCTTCCAGAGAATGTCTGCAATTTGCGGAGTCGAAAAATACGTACGTACAGAGCACGTGCAGAATATAGCACTTTGTAGGTCCGGGATGTCCGTTTGTGATTCCATTGCAGAAGGAATTATCGCCCAGTCGATCTTACTGGCTCGAGTAAATATCCGAAAGACATCGACTTATCTTGGGGGATGCGGTTTCACTTTGTCTGCGAATAGGAGATTGTAATCGATACATCCTGTGACATAGCATAATTCAGCTCCCTTGCAGCTGCCACAAGAGCCAGGCGTAAGGCCGATGGATTCCAGTGGTGTCAATGAAGAATCTGGAATAGGCATCAGTTGAATACTGGGCATGATTCCCATCCCTGAATTGACACCCCTCAACGGACACAGCTTATCCAAGCCATTGAGATTGACGGTCGAGAAGGCTAGAAAGATCATCATCGTGCAGAGTATGGGGTATAGAATATAGAGCCCGGATTATCATCAATGCGATGCAATTCAGATTGGATAAACATTGTGGTGACGATGACGAATGCTGGGAGAACGACGGTCGTTGTTGCTGCCGCGTCGTCGACGTCTTCCAAGTCACGAGACTCGCTTACCACAACGTAGCAATGTTTGAGTATGAAAACAAACACCACTTGTAGGTTTGTGGCTGGACAAATTGACCTGCAGAAGATTATGCTGACTTCTCCTTGCCTTAGATCGGCCTCATGCAAAGTTAAAGCATATCATATACGCGCAAACACATTAATAGGGGTGCCATCCGGGTGAGTATGAGGCCTCTCAAGACTCAATCATCTCAAAACACATGTCTGCTAGAACTCTGTAGAGCGGTGCATTTTCAGCCCCCGACCCCAAGCACAGCGACAACAGGGCTGTGCGAAGCTGTCGTTCCTTCTACTTAGCCACAGTCGCTATTCGCGAAGGTCTTTTCCGGTTTGTACTGGATTTGTTCGTTCTACTGAAAACGTTCTGCTTTCATACCATCGCGGAATTATCGCTTCCTACTGAAATGCGGACTGCGACATGAGCGTTCTAGAAACACAGTCGTGTCGAGATCCCTCCACAGCAGATGCAGTGCGTCATATTCTGGATGAGTTGTCTCTGAACACTCGGTCTGGAAGCAATCGTCGAATGAAATCAAGAATGAACCTTTCTCCGTTACATGAATCATTCTTCTACAGAGAAATAAGCATATACAATGCATAGACACAGACAGCAAAGCAGAGCATGCAGGATACATACAGACGGCAGAAAGATCGACGTGTCTACGTGTCGCCTGTCGCTCCAGCCTTCTAGATTCTATCTCTTCCGCATGAGACCTTTACAAGTGCAATTTCCACATCTCAATCCGTATTCTCAACCCAGACTCGTATACAACCTTATAGCAAACCTTGGTTCCCTCCTTGCGCCTGGCTGTCATGACTTTGGAGGGGTCACATTTCCCCTGATCCCCCAGATTATCTCCGACCTATCTGATAACATACGGTCTAGTTTGTATGGGCGCAAACCACCAGTCCAATATCGCTTTAATACAACCCAATAAATCCGAGTCCATGACATCTAGGCACGCCCCACAAAACAACCCTGCCAAACCTGTCATCCGTTTAATCCGCAGCAATCGGGTTCAAGAAACTATACTAGTTAATATACGAACCGTTGAAAAACGAAAACGAACAAAGAAAACCAAAATAGCAGGTCCCGGTCGAAGCGGCATAGCGGCATCGAGTCTCCACAAGGTACTATCGACCGTTTTCCCCGAGCCGGGACTAATGCAAACCGTTGATTTGGTATGGAGTCGATGGCCCGTACATGCATGATTTTCTATCATCGGGATTTTTATTGGCCGGATAGAATACGTCATTATGGGTTGGAAGTTCTCATTATTATACCGCTATTTCAAGGTCTGCATGGATCGTATGAGGGCGCTACTCGTTTCCTACTCATTCCGTTCATATGCCGGGTGAAGGCGACGGCTAAGGGATATGGTTCTCACCGAAAGAAAGAAAACCGGATTCTGGACTTCTAAGCGTTGAGTACTTTTGTGGGTACTTTGTATGCAGTATGTCTGTGAGATGAGTTGTTCTATCCACCATATCTCCGACTGCAAATGGCCATATCAAGTAACCGGATATTCAGCTGTAGAATACCAACTTTCAACAAGCTAGCCGGCATGCTCCCTTCAGTGTCGACCTATTTCTGCTCTTCCATCAGTGGGACTCCATCGAAAAAGCCTTCATAATAATACGAGTATGCGAGATTCAGCCGAATCCGTGCCCCAAAATAGTCGAAGACCTACCCTAGCATCAACGAAATATTCCATGAGGTTGACCTCTCACTTAATCCACGTCTTTTGTCTCTCTGTAAGAGCGTCCTCGGGGAGACTCTGCGCGGAATCGAAATCAACCCAGAGCACTCTATCCTTCTCTCCCGAATCGCCTCTGACTGCGCCAGCATAGCAGACTTCATCAACCACTAAGCCTGCGACAACCCCAGCAACAATCTCTACTTTATCATACACAATACACCTCTTGAGTCTGTTGACGAGATCTGTTGGTATCGGGAGGAATATGACATACCCCGGACAAAGATCTTCTACAACGTACAAGAGCAGGTTCTGATCGCAAAGAAACCGCAGGGTGATACGCTTGAGGTCTTGAATGTATTATTCCTCGCCGCGCTTTTTAGGGACTTTCGGAGGAGTGATGACAAGTGTGGGGGACTTGAGCCGTACAATATAAATACAACCTGGAACGTTTTCAGGGATATGAAATTGTTGTTTATGAAGCAGGCAGATGAATCGTATTTGCCGAAAAGATTGGCTGAAGGCATGAACTTCTTTCCCGCGATTGCTGTTGAGAGGGGGTATATGGACATTATTGATCGGCTGCGCGTTGAGGCTGCGTGGTGACTTGTGGCATCTGAGGGGAATGTTAAGGTGGCTATTGTCCTGGCGATTGATCGTGAGAAGGAGAAGATTGTTTTTGAACAGTGGAAGCTTGTTGTTGGTGATGATGGGAAGTCTGTTCCAGCTAGGACTCAAGAGGTGGTTATCACGCGGAGTGGCGATGGGGAGGTCCAGGTTACTGGGGCACCGTTTACTATCCAGTTTTACGATCTCTGCTTGTATGTTCCTGAGAGTGAGGATGAGGAGGATTCAGTATATACCGCAGCTCACTTGAAGGAAATTGCTCAACTGGTGTGGGGATTTCAGCAAGAGGGAATCTTTTGAGAAGCCGTTGCTGATAGCTAGTCCTCGCCCTGTCTCGATTGCTCTAATCTATATAGTACCAATTATCTATAATATTATATCGCTGGATGTTATGAATTCTTATGTCAAAGCAAAGTTTCAAAGTAGATCGTACCAAGACTGTACTAGATTAGGGCTAGAAGAGCACTGAAATGATCTGGATAGGTCGGCCTGGAGGTTACGATATGCCAACACAAAGCTTGTACATAATAATTGAATTAACGCCGACATATGGTCGACAATATCTGGACCTGAGCATGCGCAACGACGAGCTACATCGAGATATCCCCCGAGAATAGCGGTTACTACAAGTGGATAGACTTGGTATTATTTCGGTTATGAGAAATGAGGCTTATACATTTTACTTATGAGCATCGCGTTGATAGAGGATTGTTATTTCAGAATTTGTTGTATATATGTTTTCTTTTGACACTTACAGACCCTTGCGAATTCCAAATTCATACTATTCTACCTTTATATTCCATCCCTGCCCTCTAATTTGGGTAGGTAATCTATATCTGCTCATCAGAGTCAGAGTGGCGTTCAGATCGTCTCCATCCGTTGAGTCGCCATGAGGCTTATTGTAAGGGCTACAAAATTCCCTTTCCAGAACCTACCATTCACCATTCTCATCCAGCTCCAGAGTATCCCAAGCCACTCATAGGGCCCAGTAGCCCTGTCAGTAATTCACTCAAAACCAGGATTTGAAATACACCTTTGAACAGAGACTGTAACAGCATTAGATAGAACCTATGAGGCACACCTTTATCTGAGAAAATCACTCTAGTAAACCTACTCTACCATTATTGTTATTAACATAGTGTGAAAAAGTGATTATGGTCATCCTATCACGGCCCCGTTCAAAAATTTAGTGATATTTCTGAGGAATACAGATTCGCTTACTTTGATGATTGAATTCTGGATATGCTACTCATAATTGACAAAGCTCAACCAACATACACGCTTCGGCTCTGTGCATAAGCCTTATCAAAACACAAAACAGTTACTGGAGGGCCTAAGCTGTGCTTTCTCGGCATCGTATTACATGAGCAGCTCGAAACCCCCCTTGAACTGAACTAGTTCGAATTGCGCTGAAGCAGTGCGTTTTTGTTGTTGACTCGCCTCGATCACCAAGCCATGTCCATGGATATTATACTTGAGCAGAGCTTGCGGAGGTTCGCAATCGCCTACGTCCAGAAGATGGAAGTCCATTGCTGTGAGATTAAAAGGCTGTAAATATCCCTTTGAGACACCAGAACAATCATTTCCATATGAACACAGCATAGCAGCCAAACGGGTCGACCTAAGCCCTCTAATATGGGAGCATCCCGTTTGTTCTGCAGTGTCTACTGCCCACCTATACCCCTCTGCTACAAGATGGGATATATATCAATTAATCAACCACAAAGAAAGCTGTGGTACACGTGCTGCCATCCAGTGTGCATGAGAAGGAAGAATTTCAGGAATACAACGACACATGTCAATCTGATCAAAATAGATGACGATATGGATATGGATTAACTCCGCTATTGGCCATGTTTAATGGTGGCATCTATTACCATTCCAATGCGGCTCACAACTTGCTGCCTACCATGTGTGGCGTTATTCATTGCGGTAGCGAGGTCAAGATCTGGAGGTTGAGGGCAACAAATACATTCGCGATGGATCGGGCCAACTCATCACTCACGCCGGCGAACAGGTCACCAAAACTCTTGACACCCATTCCCCACTACGGATGCTGCTTGATCTTCTTTTTGTTTCTGTATTCTCTTTGACGGTGCTAATGGGATTATGGCGGGTTTAAAATGGGTTCAAATCAGGATTATCGGGAGTTCAAACTTGTATAGCATAGAGCGCAAAAATATTGATGTCTATTAGCTCGACGTACTGTACCACCCGCTACTACAACTACTGTTAGAGATGGAAGTACACACAAGACCATCTGAATGGCATATGCTATCAATTATCAGTGACTAAGGAGATCCCAATCTCTAGCAGCGACAGGGACAGAAATTTCCCGGTCGCCACAGTACTTGCAACATAGATTGCAAACGAGCCCTATATCACCAGGCTAATAAGCTCTGAAAATGCCGTTCTCTCCCGAATTGACCCATTTTTATCCATCTAGCTCATACGTGCTTTCCGTTGTGGCTTGGCTTATCATTCAGCAGCTGCCCGGCCCTAATAGTTTTGGAATTTGGTGTCCTATGTTCCCAAAGAGTCATTCCTTGGCTTGCGCTGTGCCGCTGTCTATTGCAGCTCAACCTCGTGAAATATCATCTTCTACATTTGCCATTTCACTTTATCCCGTTTGCCTTTTGCGCTACGGTATGCTCAGTTATGAGTTGACACTATCATTGCATGGTGTCGTCGACCACTCCTTCTTTACTATTAGAATACAGGTTTCACGTCAAGTGTCTTGTTTGGTTGCTTTGGTTGGTTGGTATTGATTCAAATTGTCATTTACTACTATTTACCATAGCCCAGCCTCGAAGCTGTCCTGCCAGTATACAATCCAACCGTCCGAGTCCTATCTCACTGCTCCCTCCCATATATCCTTCCTATTCTACTTGCAATCCTCATTAAAACGAGACACTCATATTCCCTGACCGTCTTCCCGAATATAAAACCGCAAATAGATGTGAGACGAAGCGCGATATATCAAAATCGACTCAATGCACTTCGGTTATCCATTGTATGCTAGCACCCCGTACTACGAAAACACAGACCACTGACGTGACAGCTATAGTACGTGGTTGCTACCATTGATAACATTGCTATCACAAAATACTCCGGAGTACGGGGTATATTGGTTGTTGATCAGGGGGTTGATGCTATGATTGCCCTCTTGGGAACAATCTATATGAGACTGTTCTCCTGTACTCCGTACATCCACCCAGTTTATTATTCTCCAAGGGGTTTGCCTCGTTTTCAACCGAGATGAAGGGAGGATCGTCCCGAGACGCCCGTGTAAGACATTGCAAAGCAAAGCAGAACATGATACATTTGAAGCATTAAAGCAATGTAGAGTATACATAACCCGATTACATATACGTTTGCTATCATCTATAAATGCTACACTCAAATAAAAGCAAAAGGACCGCTGCCAGCAGCCCGAAAAAATAAACAAAGAAGACACGAAGAAGAAAATAAAAGAAAAAAAAAAAAAAAAAAAAAGGCCACGACTCGCGCCGCAAAACAGATGTAACGAACAGCCTTCCTAAAAGAAGGTAAAAAAGATC